TGCCTATGGACGAGGGTTGGACGATATCCCCAAAAATTGAGAAATTGTTCCCCTTACAGCAGAAATGCTTGCCAAGCGAAACAACAACGACCACTACCAATTTCCATGCAGAAATGAATAAATAATATGTATCATTTTAAGGAGAAATGGATGAAAATACAAGGAGAGATCAATCATTCGTTTTTGTACTTTTGGGGTGTTAGGTCTGATTATCACCATAATTGTATGTCGTTTCTGCTATCTTTATTGATTTCACAAGACAACTATTATATAGTCATCACAAAAGAGAAAAAATGCATGGAATGGAAAGTCCAATGTACGCGAAATGTATATTAGAACAAATGTAAACAAAGAGAACGAAAGAAATAAATGCAGGCGCGACAAGTATACGATAACTGATAAATACAGAAAGAAAAGAGGACGACGAAACTAGTCACACATGAATATATTCACTACCTAAGATTTGGAAAGTCTAGTAGAGATCGATTTTGTACAGCAGAAATAGATTATTTTCAAGTAGAAATGAACAAACGATTTCTACTAGTACAAAATGTATATGTATACTTTTCCATTTCTGCTTGATATATATGACATTATGTGAGGTGAACCGTTTCTGCTGAAACGGGAACAATTTCTTCATCGATTGGTTATATCGTACACTGCTGCTATGGGCCGCCGTTTTTCGTAAACCTCAGTTTCTATTGGTTGGCGACTAACCAATAGGGTTTCAGAAAAAAATGGAGCTTACATTGAAAGTCCCCGCATCGGTCCCAAACAGACCAAAAAGATAAAACAGAATTAACTACTAAATCATCTCAAAAAGATGACTTAAGTGTGAATTAACCAATCACGTTGCTTAATTTTGTTTTATTGCTTTGGCCTGTTTGAGGCTATCGACTTACGCATGGGCAACCATTTTTCGTAAATCTCGGAAACCCATTTGTCAGTCGGGAACCAATGGGTTTCCGAGAAAAATGGAGCTTACGTTAGATTCAAAGTCCCCGCATCAAACTGCCTACGGATAATCACTTTTCGAAAATCTCGATTTCGATTGGTCGAGACTGACCAATACGATCTTGTAAACAGCGGAGCTCAGATTTGTCCTGCAATATGCTAAAAAAGATTGTTTACACTTGCATTCGTAGTCCTATTGGCGGACGCATACCGAATACTTAGTCACTTCACGTTTTTCGTGGAAAATACTTCTTCCTTTCATTCATCACTGAGCTCGATAGAACTCGATGCAAACTCGATCTTTCCAGTTCGAGCTCAATCGAATCTATTTATTCGAGTTCAAATCGAGCTCAATGTTGGAAAACTCGGTATCGAAACTCGAAGTTGTGCTCAACTTTGGTACATGTCTACAAGTACAGAATGTGTTGAATATCGTAGACATAATCTTCTCAGCACGTTCTATCAAACCACGACTTATTCTACCGCGGTGATACACATAATTACCGCGTTTTTTCTAGGACACCGTCGTGCATCATGGGAAAACCGCGATAACAATAAAATCCCGCGGTTGACCGCGATTTTTTCGAAATTTTTTTTCCGTGGGTACTCTTGAGTAAACCGTCTCCTTTGATTTTTGAATCAAGAAATCGATATTATATCTTTGCTTTCGTGGACTTAGATTTGGAAAAAGAGGGAAACTCAAATGCATTAGTTGTAGATTTATAGTTGTTTGCAAAATTCTAAAGGGAGATTCTGATAAAAATTTCGTTCATCTATACATTTCTTGTAATTCATTCATTTATTAGCTGATTTGTGGTAATATTAGTTATTATTATTAAAACACATTCATTACGGCTCCCGGAACAAGATTTCAGATTAGAAAAAGAACAAAGGGGAACTATTATCATATGAAATCATTACCGATTCGTTACACCGTACAAAGTCAAAATTAAATTTAAACACAAATACAATGGCTGTTCAGACATTATTATCAAAAGATCGAAAAGCTCGATTTGATGATTTACCAAATTTTTTGGGACACCCTTCCCTGTATGAAAATTCCAAATGTATTCTCTGGAATCATTACTGTCATGTTGCTGTTTGAGAGCATGATAGTGTTTCTAGTAGTGTTTTTAGACCTTCATTTATCTACGGTTTGGTATAGCTTGACAAGCAGTGCAAGATGCAATTAGAAAATTTCATGAAGGTTTCATAACTAGATTTACAAAGTGAGAAAAGGTGACAAAAGATCGTATTTTTCAGAAGAAAAAATTTCATGGGTTTTTACCTTTACACCGGGATAGCTCCTAACTTCAGGTACAAATATTTTCTGTGATGCTTCAGGTCGAAAAAATTTGGATCTGTATATAAAAATGAACGCTCTTTCAAATTAGATAGGTTAAATCAAAAGCAAATTTTTTCCTCCGCCCGCGATGTTCGGTTTTCTCGCAGAACGTCTCTTAATATCTTGCAATTGAAGAAGAATAGTCAATTTTTTACCAGAAAAATGTTTCGCAAAATCGTAAAATTCATCATTTTGAAAATTCAAAACATTATTAGGCAAAATAGAGTTTCGGTCGGACATATTAATCAAAGATTTGTTCAGAAAAAATGAAAAATAACTATGCGCCAAACCAAGTAAACAGAAATAGAATGTTCCTCGTAGAAAACGAAGATAGAAATGAACACGAACAAAAACTTGTTGTTCTATCAGTTATGCGAGAAAGCGAACATGTAATAAAAAATACAACATCGTAAGCTCTAGATATGGAAGAATGAACGATAAGTATAATTGCGATTCAATTATATTTTATTCATACATGGAAATTCTTGCATTCACTCATAGTATACTTTATGAAATACATTAAAAGAGGTAGTTTTTTTTTATCGCTTTACAATAAAAATTTTTTTATTAACTTATAGTCCATTGAGTACTCCTGCGTGGTTTATTCAATAGAAATTGAACCGAATAAAAGTATGTTGCGTTTTTTTTCTTATTATACTCTAGATGATTTTAAAATACTGATATATTAATATTGGGTGATTTCTTTGTGATTTCTAGCATTAGAAATCAGTTTTTCCCCCTTAGGTGTGGGTCCTAAGGAAATCTATTAAGAGCTGTAGATGAGAAAACGCATGAAATCGCAAATATACCGTTTTTACGACATTTTAACGTGTTATAACGCGTTTTTCGAAGACTTTTGTCTGACTGGGATGGGGCGAGAAGTGAGATGGACTCAAAATCGAAAGATGGCATTGTCATTACTTCTTGTTGTCTGCTTATTTGTGACTACAAACGGAGGCTATTTTTTTGTTGACTTTGTCAAATATATATGGAACCTTAATTTTGGTGAAAATATCTCAAATTATCCTGATGCATTATCTTACTCCATGGCATTATTTATTCATTTTGTATTTCTTGCTGGTTTGCCAGATATAAGGGCGCCATTGAAGCGTGTCACTTCATGCTGTCGCGTTAACAAAGTGACGCCTGCCATTTCGATAATGTGACAACATGTTTAAGCTTTCTAGCAAGTATGAAATGATGATTATCATAAACTGACGTATATATTAATTCATGCGTTTTCTATTACTATTCGTTGATGCTAATTATCATTTCACTTTTTGTATCTTTATTCTATTCTAATAAATTAATTTTGCTGCTGTTTAGTGTTGTGTTCAACATCTACATTGAACATTTTTTCAAAACTTATCTAGAATTCACTGAATTATATTTTCTTATATGAAAATATACTGGCCTTCAATTACCCGCAGGATTTTTTTATGAGTTATTTAGAATATCGATCGTGTTATTTCAAATACAGAACTTTAAAAAAAAAATTTTTTTTAATTTTAAAGAATATTTGGGGAAATTTTTTCAGGTACGAGACGAATTCTCGTCGTCATCTAAATAGGTTATAGCTTCGCAACAGAATGAGACGCTCAATCTAAACTATGGATCGACAAAACAGAATCATCATCAAGTTCGCATTTATTACATCTTCTATTTCAAACAGAATATTGTTGATTTTGTAAACATCCGGTGAACTCTGCTCTATAGATATATATGTTTTTGTCCGCATTCATCTTACGATAAGCCTTTGAAGTAGATATTGACAATAGATTACTATAAGTAACAGATAGGAACCAGAGAATAGTGTCATCCTCTTCTATTTATTGCATGCAATAAAGTAAAGAAAGAACCCGAACGTCTACAATGTAAGTAAGATTTTAACGCAAATAGGCTAATATCTGAAGTTTTTATCTTTAATAATATCATTATTTTGTATAGCTGTCTATAGAAAATGTTTTAAACAGTTATATTCTCCTATCATGATAATTTTCGATTGATTTTGTGTTTTGTACAGACGCTTTCAAAGATGACAAGTTAATAATCTGTACAAAAGTATTGTCTTTTAAATGAATTACTTTTCTTTCAAATGTAAAGTATGTTTAGATGTAAACCATGAAATGTTTTTAATCGAAAAAAGCAGTTATCTTGTTGACACATTCTCTTGGTATAAGAATACGAATAATTAAAACAACAAGAACCATAACAAAGATAGAAAGAAAACATCAAGTCTATAATTTAGATTAAATAAAACATTCAGCCAAGAATTATTGACCTTTCACGATATGCAGCCCACCAAACAGCGCCAAAAATTGTAACAGCAAAGAATTCACTAGGTAACCACGGACCATAGCTTACACCCTGAATTAAATTCATAGTTATATTTGCTTTTTTTCTGAGTGAAATAAACCGTTTTTCTTACCGGATGATTTAATTCAACTGTGCCGAATGGTTTAACAGCTCGAACGGCTTCATCTGTACGAGCCTAGAAAAAAAAATCTTCTTTCGAAAAGAAAATTTCCTAATTCAATTCTCTTACTTTACGCATAGCTGAATATGAATCGTCATCATACAAACGCACCGTTGTACGTCCAGTTGTTAATTGTTTGTGAGAGGCAACAGCAATACTGACCTTAGAAAACAAAAACAAAAATTCAATATTTCGTTTATCATTGAAGAAACATTGTCATACAAAGTATTTGCCAGGTGATGCAATTGATTGAGCACATGGTACAGTTTGTCCATTAATATCAGCATAAAGTGTACTTGGCTACAACATCAAAATATTTTCTTTATACAAAAAATTATTTAATAAAACAAACTTGTTTTCCACTTTTGCATTTAACAGTTATTTCAAGTTCAGCTGCAGACTCAGCAGTTAATCTTCCATCTCTTGTCGAATATGAAGCAACTTGAAATTGTGGCGATTCACAACTTTGCCCTGAACAAACAAAAAAATATTTTTAATCCAACTCTTGTACGTATATCCAATAGCTGAATGCTATTTAGGTTCATAGTAAGCTACTTAGCAAACATATTCAAGAACTTAAATCAATAGCTTGCGCCCAAAGATTTAACGGATCGGACTGATATCAGAATTTGTAGCAGCTAAAGCGATGCTACGTGGAGTTATGTCTTCACTATTCAATGTTCCGAGAGAGAAATACTCGCTAGTATCGAAACTATTCATCATAATGTTCTTTGTTTCAAAAAGACCTTCGCAAAAACCATAATATGAAATTGAATGAGACCTTAAAATCGATTTTGTTACTTTCTAATAATATAATTTTTCTATACCTTGAGCAAAAGCCAATACAGCAAGAATAGCTAGTACGAGACGAAGCATTATTTGTTAAGTGAAAACTAATGACTGATGTGGCAAACGATAACGATAAACGACATACATTGATTCTATTGGACGAATTTCATTTGAATGATAGATGGCGAAATAAGTATTTGCAAAGAAATAAACTTTCTAGAAAGTTTTTAATTTATATTTTTTCCGCATTTCATTTGATTAAAAAATAAAATATATATTTTTTTCAATGATTAGTCTACAGTGACCAATCAATACAATCCAGAGAACACAAATCACTTTTTTTTCTTTCTATCTTCAACAAATGAATAATATGAATATTATCGTTCAATGTTCATTTTTCGTTCTTTTATTTGATTTGATATCGAGTAATCAAGATGCTGTTTCGTATAGTTCAACATTTAAATTAGTCAATCAACAATCCGGTGATAGACTTCATTCGCATGAAGTAAAATATGGCTCTGGTAGTGGACAACAAGTATGTCAACATTAAACTTCTTATTCTTTACTTAATAGTTTAGTTTCTAGTCTGTCACAGGCTCACCAGATGCAACTGATGTGAATAGTTATTGGCAAGTTCATGGAGAAAATTGTCAACGAGGGTAATTGAATGAAAAGTAATTTATTTTTAATGACTTATCTTCTTTGCTAGATCACCAATAAAATGTGACAGCATCATTCGGCTACTTCACGTAGCTACAAGGAAAAATTTGCATAGTCATGATTTTGCATCACCATTATCCTACAATCAGGAAGTCTCAGCTTCTGATGAAGGCGGTATTGGCGATGAAGGTGATATGTGGAAAGTTATTTGTTCTAATGAAAATGATTATTGGTTGAGAAAAGATGGAATTAGATTGAAACATGTTGCTACAGACAAGTAAGATATTTTGGATTGGAATTCTTATTTTGACTTGTATAAAAAGACGAACGTTCATGTGTGGTTCGATTGATCATAACAAGAATGAGACGCTAAAATTAATGATTATAATGTTTTTATGAATTATTAAAATGAACGATAGATACAAACAGGGAGCATTATCGTAGTGTATACAATTCACTTGTCATTTATACATGTACTAGTCTAGTAAAATGATTCGTTGTTCTGAAAATCTGCTGCGAAGTGCCATTTGTAAGTTGAAATGTTCAAGAAACTCGTTGCGAATAAAATTTTCAACATGACGAAAGTTTTCGATTCTCTTTAAATATGCATCGCGTTCAACTCAGTAGTACGAAAAAAAAATCCATATTTGTTTAGATCTAATCAACCGAATAGATTAAGGAGTTTTTTTCTTTTCGATTGAACTGTGTGAGTAATTTCCTCACTCCGAGACAATTTCAACTGAAGTCATCAGAAGAACGATACTATTTTCGTGTCTACGTAAAAGTCGCTCAAACATTGTATAGATAATGACATTAAAAAAGTGCGAAAAGAATTGTGACTATGTTTATCTTACGAATTATCAATCACAGTTATTTGACCAAAGAACTAAGTGTTTAATCCTTGTGAAAAGTTTCTCAAAGCTATTTTCTCGAATTGTTTCAGGCAAAGTATTTAACAAATTTGTTTATGCTCGAGATGTAGATTTACAGTGAATCAAACAAATTATAAGCCACTAGGTTTCGTCAGTTGTATCGCCGAATGAGCCGTATTGACTCAGATATTTATCCGAGAGTAATATTTTATATTTTTGTCTTAGATATCTTCATTTAACTGGCGATACTTATGGTCGACCAATTCATGGTCAAAAAGAGATTTCCTGTTATCCGAATGCCAATAATCAAAACCTATGGAAAGTTGATGCTGGTGTTTATGTTCGTCCGTCTTCTGAGCCTCAGCTTTCAATTCCAAACAATGAATTTAATGCACACTCACAATCAATATATACTGATCATGTCGACTATGAACTTTAGAATAATAGTAAATTGATTATTTTCTAGATGAAATTCTAAATGATTTTTTTTTACTTGACGAAAAAGCATTTTTTTTTTCGTACCGATTGTATACTCAATGACATACCTCCCTTACGGTCATTGTTTATTTAAGATTACATCTAAGTATTACTCGTCTTTCCTTTTTACTTTCTTCTTCTCTTGTTAAATCTATAGACATAATATAAAGTCGTTTTAGATTTGTTTGAGTGTGCGAGCGTGTGTGTGAGAGGGTGTACATAGAAGAAGAAAAAACAACAAAAAATGCCGTCAATATTCGGCAAAAGTCATCTATATCGTTATGATATTCAAGGTGGTGCCAAAAGTCATTATCTTGTTTTTGTTCATTTACCATGTTTACAAACACATCTTAAACATTTATATCAACTATCATTATTACCATTTAATGATTATGAACAACAAACTATTGAATGTTTAATGAATCATAATAGTTTAACACGGGATTGTATTAATTATCTTTTACAACGGCTTCATATACGAGATGGTGCTATTTCAAATTGTTTTGCTTTATCTTATTACAATAAATCTAATAATCAATCTTATTGGCTTGATCCTAATATATCAATGAGACAACAAGTACCAAAATCGGAATTAAAACCAAATTTAACATTTACAATGTTACTTTATCCACCAGTGCCATATGCAATAACGGATGAAAAAGCTAGGTAAATTCATAAATTTAGATAAGTTAAACTAAGAACTATTTAGAGTACGGTTTAACGTGCTAACCACAATAAAAGTTGTTATTTTTCGTTTTGTTTTACAGAACATTATGATGCGTATTTCGTCTACTTAAGAGCTATACATAAATTGAAAGCAACTTTTCTACCTTAGCATTCATGCATAAACGATATACTGTGTTCTGATCTGATTCGACTACAGGATTTCGTCTATAAAAATATCTTTATAGTGACATTGTAAGGAAGGAGTGTTCACCATAGAATTTCCCATAAACAAGATTGAGATGAATGCTGATAATGATCTATTAGTGTCAAACTGTTATTGTTATTGATCATTTCTCGTGAATCTCAACAGTATTTAGCAAAATCTACTGAATTTTTTAAGTGAAGAATCTATCGCAATGCATTAAATTTCTGTCCTTGCAGAATATAAACTCTGAAATATCGTTTCTCTTTATAGTCCGATCTTTCGTTTACATAATCAGCTCTCGTGACTAGTATATTGTATCTATAGAGAGCTCTCAAACAGACCGACTTTCTTTCCAGACTTGTAGAGAAAAAAATCGAGCCTTTGAAACAAACCTCGAGCAACACCCTATACTGCAAGATAGTCAAATGGTGAACAAGTAAATGATACATACAGCCAATTTTACCGTTGCAACTTGCTGACTCTTTTCGCCTTCCAATGATTTTGGTTTCAGTACCACCAGCGTCATTGGTAGATATTCTCTATGAACAATCTCTTGACGTTATAAACATTCTTTCATGATGTATAACTATAGTGGCCTATAAATTATACCTACGCTGTTATACGATTGATAAAAAAATGAATATCTGAAAAGGCATCTACAATGATTATAATTACAGTAGATGATAACTTCAAAATAAATCTTTCAATATTCATACTTAACTAAAGTTAAGAAACCGTCGGAAAAAATAAATATCTATAGCGAAACCGAGAATAAAAGCTATCGAACTGATAAATCAATATTTGCATTCTAGACTAGGTACACATGCTAAAGTGAGCTCATGTCCTTGGTTTATACAGTATTTTGCGAATAGGTACTTTCATTCCTCAGGGCCACAAGCAAAAAACGATTATTTAATGTCAACATGAGATTTTACATAGAGTAAGACACTTACTCTGTTTTCTCCGAGAGAATCTTCAAATGATTTGTATCTTCACCATTTCGACGTTCAATATATTTTTCTAAAATAATTCAATAACATTTGTTTTTCTTTCTTCTAGGCTAATTCTGTATCAGCAAATATTCTGCAATTTCATTTCATCAATGTATACAATATCGGGAAGTCTTGTTGAAACACTATCAGCTTATTTTCTTCGAGGTAAATCTTATTCTATAGAGACGAAATAGCTTCATCTAACATTTAATTGTTTTTTATTCAAATAAAAGCTTGTTTTGACAATAAATTCAATGCAGATAAAAATCATGATGTTCTTCAATTGATCATAGCAGCTGTAAGACATGAAAAACTAAACATTATATTTTATCTCTACATATGAACAAAAATACTTTTTATTATTAAGGTCGGCATTTCAGAAGAAAAATCCGATATAGTAAAAGATAGAATCTTTGAATTATATCGTAATTTAAATGGTATTGATATACGATCAGCACAAAATCAATTTGTTCATCAAATATCTCAATTGAATACATATGGAATGATACATTTAGAAATCAAAGTATTTATATCTGTTCAATGATCCATCGGATTTATATTTCTTCCTAGAACGCACTCAATGAAACAATTTGTCTTGGATTAAGTCATACTGGTATACATTGTCGTTCATTGCTTCGAAATGAATTTAAACTTGAAGCTTGGTAAGTCTATGTTGATTAAAATCGATATCTAGCGCTATTCTATTTTTATTAGTTGGCATAATATAACATCCATTGTGTCGAATAAACAACGTCAGATAACAGTGACAATTAAAAATGATAATATAAATACTCATATGCAGATTTATTATACAGATTCAACTAATTATAATCGTTATTGTCTTCGTCTTCTTCATGTATTTTTGAATCATTTTTCTAAATATGTTCCGAGCGAAATCGAGTAAAAAAACGTGTTTCTCAGACAGCATTCAACGCAAAATTTTCTCTGTTTAGAAACATTCCAAAATTAGAAACATTCCCAATCAAAAAGCCATGTTTAGTGCACGGTGCAAGTGTGCCAGATCTCCGATCTGATGGTGAATCTTCGAGTAATGATCGTTCACCACCATCAGCGTCATCATCAGCACGATCGTCAAATCATAGTTCGAATCTGTGGACCGGCAGTTTACCGAATTTAACGGTACAATTGTCGACTCGACAACAGACAAATGAAATTTTCAAAAAAAAGAACGATCCTTACGCAACATTTTCTGATAATCTCAATCATATCGATGAACAAGAGACAATATCTCCAGTTGAAGAAAAGGTAAATTCAAAAAAATAATAATTATTATTTTTTTTATATTCGGTGATAGTCATGTTGGATTTTAAGAGTATTACAAAATAGAAAATCGGGTATGGCAAAAAGGAAAAATACATATAGAATCATGTTTTCTAAATATTAAAGATCTCCTCGTTAGAATCATTGATAGAAGTTTAGCTTCTGAAGAATAGTTTGAATGAGAAATTTGTAAAATAGCAGCGATTAAACCATTCGAAAAGTCTTCATTAAATAGTAGGGGTGTCAATTTGCAGTTTATTTAATTTAAATTTAACTTCGTGAAAAGTTAATTTAATTTGAAATTAAATTCTATAAAGTTAAATTTCAATTTAATTTTTGAAAATTTTTTTCTCGATTTAATAATTTTTTTTAAATTTAAATGTGACACCCCTATTGAATAGCGACTTGTATCTCTAAGGTATTTTGTCCAAAAATAAATATCATACGCCATACAGTGACATAGAGCCCGAGCTATGCACGAATTCCAATTAGGGGTGGACCATTTTTTTTAACGGAACTTAATTAATGACTTTCATTAGCCATTAATCTTAATGGTTAATGTTTTCTGAGAAAAACTTAATTCATTAATATTAATGATTAATGAAAAACATTAACATTAATTTTAAAATTAATGTTTTCATTAATCATTAATATTAATGTCAATGTTCTTGAATGATATTAACGGTTAACGGAAACATTCACCATTAGTATGAATAGTAATGTTTTCGTTAATATTAGGGATTATATTTTCATTAATCATTAATATTAATGTTAATGTTTTCATATTACTGAATTAGGCTTTTCTAAGGAAACATTATCTACAATTATTAATCAATTAACTGGTCTTAATAGCTAATGTTTTCTCCAAAAGTGTTAATTACTTAATATGGAAAGTTATAATGCTTTCATGAAAACATTAACATTGATATTAATGATTAATGAAAATATAATGCCTAATATTAACGAAAACATTACTATTCATACTAATGGTGAATGTTTCCGTTAACCGTTAATATCATTCAAGAACATTGACATTAATATTTATGATTAATGAAAAAATTAATTTTAAAATTAATGTTAATGTTTTTCATTAACCATTAATATTAATGGTTAATGAGAAACATTAATATTAAATTAATGTTAATGGCCCACCCCTAATTCCAATGTAACTTGGAATCACCATCGGACAGCGCATGCTGAGCACCTCGCAACATAGTAGAAAAGAAACCAATCACTAGGCAGTAATCCATATCCAAATATAAGGACATTCTTTCAATATCTCAAGTATAGAGAAAAAATAATTTGATATTCAAATATTCTTCACTCTTAGAAGAGACGGTACTTGAGTGTGCTGATAAACTGTATTCAATTTGACATACAACGATGTCACTATGGGAAGTCTTAGATTTCTAAGAGATACTATTATTGATAGATGTAATCTTTAGTAATGAAAATTAACTGATTCTACATGATTTGTAAGATATAACCGACTCTTAGTTCTGATTCGAGACCCTGCTTTTTGACTGACTCCTTCAATAGATATGTATGATGATCATGTTCATGTAAGATTTTCATTTTATAGTCAATATAAAGCTAACGGATTACGATAAAGCGAAGAAAAAAGAAACTGATTATATAACAAAGAGAGAGAGAGAGAGCCACATTAAAACAATGTTCAACGAAGTGTCTATGTACGACGAAGGAAAACGAAAATCGACCTGTGTTGATTTTATTTCGGATGAATTATTTTATCTTGATTGATACGATCAAATGACTAGAGCACATTCTGAAATATAATCAAAATTTTAGTCATAAATAAAAGTCTCGATGAACCAATTGTGAACTTTTCCGAAACGAATATCATAAAAGCATTTGCATTTTATTGTCTTATTTCAATATTGATACAAAGCATATGTATCATGATTAAAACCAATCTAGTATTAGTCGTAAGGAATAAATTTCATAGTGAAAAGAATACAAATACTTGACTTTCTAGTTTCTTTTTCTCGATAGGAAGTAACGTTACGACATTCGTTACCAGTTCCATATAAATCTCAATCACCAATGTACAAAAAGGTAAAATTTCAATATTCTATCTCATTCTTCATCTTTTGCTTTCCTTTTATGACTTCTTCTAAATTGTATAAAAATTCTTTTACCGGTTTCTTAATCATTGATCCGTTTTGTCGATAGTTTTCGCATCGTTTTTTGCTGATGTCCACTGCTCGTATTGGATTATCATGTTCTCTTGCTACATTTGATAAAATTTCCGTATCACCATCGATGGTAAATGCATCGAAAATACCTTCATCGATTAATCTTTCGCCGTGTTTTTCATGTGAATGTCTTGATCGAGGTGATAAAGTAAGTTTCGATGCTGCATGTCAAAGGTCGATAAATTCAAATGCATGTCGAAGCAAGAAAAAAATATAATGCTACGATCCAACAGTTTTTTGTTTGCCCTATTCTCTAGACATTTTTATTTCGTTCGTTCTTTTTTTTTATCTAGTATCTAAAGTGTGCAATTGATATGACATTGGTTGTAATTTTACCTCGTTATATGATTCTTTCGTGAAGTTTATAGAAAGTTTTTTTCTTCTCATTCGTATATGCATGTGAATGAGCGAAATTATAGATGAAGCATGGGCATGAAGTTGGATGTTGTTTCGTTTAATTGAAAAAAAAATTATTTTGATTATTATTTTCATAGGACTCAATTCTACAATCATCATCAAATCTATCAACACTAACAACAAATAATCGATTATTATTGGTAGAAGATTTTTAGAATTTCGATCGGCTAATGACTTTTGTTTTGTCTCTCTAGAATTCAAGAACATATCTTTCATCGACATCAGTACCATTGGAAATCGATACGATTAGTGTTGATGATGATGATGATGCACCGACAGATATTTGGGTAAGAATTCAATTGAAAGATTTGAGAAGTTCTTAAGATCATTCAAATTTATAGAAAATATCATGTTCATATGAGAATCTTCTGAACTCGATAAGTATGTCTAGGGGTTGAGCTTTTACAAAGATCATAGCGTTGACTGGGTACGCTTTTATTAACTTAACATAATTATGCATGCATTTAAGAGATGTTGAAAACAAGTTTTTGTTCATAGCCGTCACGATGAATACGCTAGTGCGAATAGAGTTCATGCTGTATGCTACAAGATCATTCATTCTATACTAGGCTAATAACAAAGATCAGTAACTGTAACTCGGAATTGAAGTAATTCATCTCAGCAACTTCGATTTCAGTACTTTTTGAAAGTAATTCAACGACAAATGCTCAGCTCGATCTTGACTTCACGCCTATGTAGAACGATTCTTATTTTACATTATTTTTCAATTCGTAACCAAAAGTAATCTCCGTCATTTTTTTTCCAGTTAGCTGACTTCGAATCAAAATTATCCAATAATATAGTTTATGATGAGTTCGATTCCATTCCAGTGTCTCGTATCAATGGTTCGATTCAAGATGGACGATTATCTGACAACACTCATCGTAATCGATATGCAGATGTGATACCGTATGATGATACACGTGTACGATTAATTCCAACAAAAGACAATCTTCATGGTTATATCAATGCGTCGCATGTTAAAATTCGTGTCGAAAATACAATCTATTCGTACATTGCAGCTGAATCCCCATTACCATTAACAGTTCATGATTTTTGGCGTATGATATCTGGCAGTAATATACATGTTATTGTTATGCTAATTGGTAATGATCCGCAATTATGTGCAAATTATTTTCCAAAACATAAAAATGAAAAATGTCGAACAGATGAATTTGAAATTGAACTAATTTCCGAACAAAATCGACAAGATTTTCACATTCGTTATTTACGTATGAAAGTTCTTAATGGGCAACGAACGCGTACTATTGTTCATTTGCAATATGTTGCTTGGGACGAAGCACAATTACCACTTGATGCAACATCATTTATTGGTAAAATTAAATTAAATGTTTTGCAAAGATATTCGTTGAATAAATGTGTTTTCTTTTTTCTTATAGATTTTATTAATGTAGCAAATAGTTTTCGAAGACACTATGGTGAAACGAATCCATGTTTAGTTCATTGTACTGCTGGGTAAGATTGTAGAGAAGGGAAAAGTAGAATTTCAGTACTGCGAATTTTTACGAAAGATGTACCACGTGATAGAGTCTTGCCAAATTTTTTTAGTTATAGATAATAATGTAGCGAAACAGAAACATGCTCTGTTGTGAAGATGAAGGACTTGTAAAGTAGTTGACGTTGTAGAACAAATATTTTCCTACAAAATGAAATGTTGACGAGCTCTGCAGAAGCCGTCTTCAACTTTTATTACAGTTTTACTAACGGCACTAGCATGACCGAGAGTCTTGGCTTTTGTGCCTGCCATAAAACTGTAATAGAAATTGAAAAATGCATCATACAAACTTCACTAATGTCTCATTTTGTAGAAAAGTATTCATTCGGCAAACATCCTTAGGAAAAAACATTGGAACCAAACCGAGAAATTTTTGGTACACACATCCCTCGTTGTAGACTAAATAGTTAGCGTAGAAAATAAGATATTTTAGACGACGAGAAATTTAATTATGTTTTGATAAATTTTAGTATTGGTCGTACTGGAATTTTTATTCTCACTCATGTTATGATTCAATGTATAACATTTAATAAAGTATGTAAGATTTTGAAGATTAAATTAAACTTATTTTATTCTATATTTAGAAAGTAAGTGTTGCAAGTGTATTGAAAGTGATGCGTGAACATCGAATGTCACTTGTCGATCGTACATATTCATATGTATTTGTTTATCGTTGTCTTATTGATTACTTAAAATCGTCGAGACTTATCTAATATAGTTCTACCTATTCCATTCATTTAAGCATTCCACAACTGTAATTAGAAGTTTTTCTTCTTCTTCTTCTTCTACTTCTACTTTTTTTTGTTACTGCGAAAACCTAATGTGTTTGTACTTATTTTTCCTTTTCTTTTCATTTGTGCTTCTTCAGTGCGCTAGACTGTTTTTTTTTATTGTGTACTTATTCAATAAACAAAAAAAGCAATAATAATAAATAGAATGAACAAAATTTTCAATCACGTTTATCTATGTTTCTAGATATTTCATAGCAATAGATAATGGTGGGATTACTTAATGAATCGCCGACATTTTGTTTCGATCGAGATGAATTATCGACGGTAGAATTTCATTTTATGATGCGAAGAAATTTTGAATTTAAAGTCATATTTTATTTTCTTCCAGGCCAATTTTAATGTTGATGCATTTGTTGTAAAATATAAACGTGAGGTTGGCTTAGAGAAATTACGCGATGATTTAGACTTATTTTTACGCGTACTCAAATCGAGTATGGTAGAATTAATCAATCGAGATTTTGCCGATTTTTTGAATTTATCAACTAATTTGGTATGAACAAATGATTTATTTTTGTTATTCGATAGAAGAATAGGACCAGTAAAGAAACATTTTTTTTCGTTTAGGTTGGTTTTGATAAATCGATAACAACACTTAAAAATCCGTTGACTACTATGAAAGTTGATATATTGGTTAGTATGTTGTTTAATAATTTATCTTACGAAAAACAAATTAAATGAAAAATTTTCTAGAAAATAAATGAAATTCTTAGTAATCAAAGAAAAGAAATCGAAGAAAAACTGCGTGAACAAGAAGCGATTCGCCAACGAAAACAAGTAATTCAATCGACAATTGACGTACAAAAATCCATTCAACAATTAAAGGAACTCGACGATGCCATTAATTTATCAAAGTAAATTCAAGTGTAAAGTTTTTTCTTGTTTTTGATTTCAACAAAATTTCCTTTAGAATTGATATCGGTGAAATGATTGAACGTGCAGTTGTTCAGTTTAGTTTTATTTCTATACAATTAGAAAAATGCAATAAAAATGAGTCAACAGTTGAATCTCTTAAATTAGTAAGAAGAAGAAAAACCGCCAAGAAAATTGATTTTTATATTTTTGTTTAGGTGATAGATAATTTACGTCGAGTATTTGAAAAACGTTTAACAACAGCTTTCATTAATGCATATCGTGAACCGAATATGTCGTTGTTAGCAGATTCGCTTAAAGGCTTAGCTTCGATTTCGCTTCAAACTATTGCTGAACAAACATTTGCAGATGAAATTGTTCGACCTTATATGGAAAAGGTAAAAAGAGATTAATACCACTCTATTTCTTTCGAATTTATTCAGTGCACTAGCACCCCGAGTAGAATTTTTACAACAGCTCGAAAAAGACTAAGCTAAAAGAATTGCAGTTCTTGTCAACAGAGCCAATTGATTATTACGTTTCTAAACTTTTAGTCTTGTTCGGTACAAAAATGGCATTTGTAATCGTGAGATTCACAAGTATGTGCAAAAATTGATCTAGAGATGCTTCTTGATGTTTTGATGATAAACATAGCGATACAAATAAAACTAATCCTCACACCTCACTAGCAGGCCGTTCTGATCCTCCTCCATTGATTTCAAAGCATTTTTATTAGTATATTGATCGATCTTAAATCTTTTTCAAATTAAAAATTTTCTTCGCAAAATTATTTTGTTCCTATAAATAAACATTTTAACTGAAAGCTTCGATTTTTTTTATCCATGGATATTCTCCTACAAACAAATAGAACATCAAAGGTTTATAGAATTTCTAATTTCGCTTTTTTTTAAATTTTAACTAGATTGAAACGGAAACATTCGCTAAGTAAAAAAGAAAAGCCTCCTACACAACTCCTACGCGATTCCCATACACAGCTGCTGCGGTTGTTGATCGTTGGAAGGTTTTTTTACTCTATCTATTTTAAGACTCCTTTTCTTATCAAGACGTTATTTAATCGTTAAGACATGTAAAAAAAACGTAGATCAGGTCTTTTGATGATGATTTATTCATATACAATTGCTGGTCTCCTGCCACAAATAGCTGCCACAGGATGTGGAATACAAAATAAACATTCATATAATGGAGTCTTGCCATTATGTAGGTCATTAAAGAGGAAGAAAAACTGTTTTTCAATCTGCTACACAACTTGGTCGCAAGAGTGACCCAGTTTATTATCAGTAAAATAACGAAGTGTCAAACATAGCGCCAAGGTCGTACTGAAAGTACGATAAAGAACGAAGTTGATAAAAGCTAACGTGCTAATAAAAATCACTGAAAAATTTATTCGAAGTTTTAAATAGAATTTATGAAACTTGTGAAATTTCTATGTTTGACATAGAAAAAAACCCATTTATAACGACTCTAATTATTTTAATTGTAAAATGAATTTTTTCATTTTCTCATTATGTTATTCAAGATGGTTCGCAATGCGCTAATTCAATCTACAGACATTTCACTAGCATTTGAAAAAACATTAGATTTTATTCGTACGGAATGTAAAGCAATGCTCTATGTTGTCGAACGGATAAATCGTGAATGTGGAAGTCATTTTGATTTTGTTGTTAATTCAATATTTCCTGAATTAACTCAATGTCTCGAAGAATCCTCGAATAGTTTATTTTTTTCTGGCGATCCCGATGTATTTCATCAAAGATATACACATTGGTTGATATTTCTTGAGCAAATTCAAAGTATTTTATCGAAATTAAGCGGACAAAATTTAAAGAAATCGAAAGCCTATCAAGAATTTTCATCTCGATGGGATTTAGTTGTTTATTTTCAAATACGATTTCAAGAAATATCAAATTCCATTGAAAGTCGAATTGTTAATCAGCCATTTGGATTGAACGAAGATAAAAATTCTCTATTTAAAACTATGATTGCATCGACTATATTTCAATCGATTGATCGTTGCTGGCAAACAAATATTTTCCTTGAAACATTATCGCAACGATTCTGGAAATTAACATTACAATGTATTGTTCGATTTCGTATTTGGATTGAATCATTTAATGTAAACATTAAAAACAACAAATTTCAAAAGATGATGTTTTGCTTTTTTTTATATTTAGACAAAAACAGTCGATACAAAATTTATTTTGAATCTCTATGCTGATCTTCAAACATTTACTCAAGAAGTAAAAAATCTTTTTCTTAAAGTTATTCTTGACCAACGACTTGCATCAATTATTTTATTGTCCCCAAATATAACAGTAGACTTAACTAACAGTAAGAGAGAAAAGATTTTTTTCATTCATTTTTTATTCGTGAAATTTTTTTATTAGTTTTGGATCAAACACTTTTAAGTTTAACAGATAAATGTCGTACTGATTTGAAAAATTTAGCTATAGGACAACTAATTGAACGATGTAATGAAACACTTCATTCAATACAAGAAATTCCTCGAATGTACAGAAAAACAAATCGTGAAGTAAGTTTAAGCATTGATAGTAAGCAAGTCAAAGAAACACCATAGATATTCGAAGTGGAAAATAACATTATGTCTACTTGTACGTGTGTATTTTGGACTATAGCCTTGAACTTTTGTTTTTCATATCTTAGATAGAATTTGTTGGAATAATAATAATATGTCAGTGCATTCCTTTATGAAACGCTTCCAGTGCGTTCGTGATAAATTTCTATAAAGAAAAATAATTGATATAAGACATGTTTACTGATAATTGTAAAATAAACGTTGAAGGATAGTTTATTTGTGAGGAGCAGAAGACTATGCTCCTGAAATTTCTAATAAAATTCCTATGAAACGATAAGAAAAAAGAAGGCCTATACAACCATGTGCACAGCGTTGGGTTTAAAAAAAAGGAAAATTATATCTGCCTTGATATTATTCTTTTAAAATAATATCGAAAAAACTCCTATCTAATTTAGGCACCTAGTAAGGCATCGAACAGTATCCAAGCGACATTCCGTCACTTACAAAGCTTTACTAATGATTACAGCGGTACGATATTAACTGAAGATGAATGTAAACAATTTCAAAGCGTTGCAATGGAAGAAATCACCAAAAAGTATTTCACACAAATTATCGATTTTCTAAACATGTATATATCTATTTTTTTTACTTATTGTTTTAGTTATTATGGATTATGCTCGGAGATTTTATCATCTGTCAGAAAAATGGAAGAAAATATACAGCGATTAAAACGTGTACGTGAATCATCTAAAGCTTTATCGACAATGTCACAAAGTGTGACTACATCATCAACAGCATCATTGACAGACGATAATAAAATTCGTATGCAAATTCACCATGATGTGAACGCATTTACAAGCGAAGTAATTTCATGTTTCGTTTCTCTTCGATTTAATGAATCGTTTTTTCTTTCTCCGCATTGGTTTAGCTGAAGAATCTCGGTATTCAAATTGAATCGTCGAATAAATTAGCTATGCTTAATGAAGAAAGTCGTTTACAAATATTAAATTAAATAAACATTTCATTTCTTTCTAAGTATTCTTTTTTTTTTAATAAAAAAATTCTTTTAGATGGAATCATCTAAATGGTTTATACAACCGGATGAAATTTTCTCAATAGAAAATCGCTGCCTATTAAACGTAATCTTAGATATAACGAATGGGTTTACCCTACCTTGGTCGAAAGTAAATGTTTCGAACGAGAAAGATGCCGGCAAAAAAAATTTTCGGTAGTAAAATTTTCTAAGTAGAAAAACAACGAAAATGGTAGTATGAACCGATTGGTAAATACTCTTATATTGTGATTATAGTAACTGGTTGATTACGTTACCCATTCATTTCTTAGCTCAAATTCAGGCCTTTGTCGAGTAAAAGTCAACAAAGACGCCTTTGCTGTAAGGATTATAGAAAGAAAAAAATATTCAATAGTAAAATTTTGATAAACATTACGTCGATTTCTCCAGATATCAAGTTTTGATGCAAGTGAAAACTTATCCTTCATTACATCAAGCAAAAATCAGCCATTAGTAGTTATGAATGAACAATTATACAAATGTAATAAGAAGACGGCCCGTAAAAAATATTGGATTTGTATTGTTAGTGGACGCTCCATGGTAGTTCATAGATGAAAATGATTTTTATTTATACGAAGGTAAATGTGATCATCATCATCAATAAAATTCAGATATCATTCAACTCATCAGATCTACTTACTGTTTTATCATTAGTTGTTGAAGCAAAAAAGAAACGTATAGAAACCAAATTTACGGCAGAAGATTACTTATTCATCAAGCATGATTCTACTTTTTTAACAAATTTTTGCTTCAAACATTTTTTCGATAAATAAAAGTTTTTAAATGAAAAAAAAATTTAATCTTTCTTAACGCACAGAACTAAAATAAGAAATCTTTTGATATTTATCAGTCGAAATTTTTACCTTCCGATATTTTCGGTGCCTTCTCTTTTGACATTTTAACTTTCGACCAAAGTAGAATTCACCTTGACTTTTGTATTGGATGATTCTATAGAGATATTAGAATATTACTAGAGCAAATTAGCTTTTGTTTATACGGCAGAAATCTATTTTCAGTATCCAAAGTACCAAAAGTTCCATTGAGACGCGACATGCAATTAATTCGTAATCAATTATCTAACAAGTTTCTATGTCAGACAACAAAGTTTATTGATGTAAGAGAACATTCCAAGAATTTTCCGGTCAAACAACAGACTATTCATATATTCGTTGAGTTGGTCGTATTCCTAATTTTCAATTTGATCCCTACGATGCACTCTACGGAGAAATCAATGGGGATATTATATCGCATGAATTAGAAGAATATTTAAAATTTATTTTTAGGATAAATAAATATAATAAAAATACAGAAAAAAATTGTATATATGTGTGAAACTGGCTGGCAAACAAGTCTAGCAGCAATATTTGCTGAAGAGTTAAATTTAGCAGATACGATATCTGTAGTAGATTTTGGTTGGTTCGAATGGCCCGAAGAATTTCTAGAACATTAAAAAACGTAAAGTCTTGCTTATGATGCACTTTCAAAGTTCCTCTATTTTTTCCTTTTCTTCTTATCAAAGTTCCTTTCTAATAATAGAATTTTACACAAGTCCAGTGAAATAGTTAATATTCGGAGAAGATTTCGATGCCCTGTCAGGCATTGGAACGTCAAATACAATAAAATCATTCGACGGGTTATAGGAACGTGTACACATTGCTGAATTAACAAAATATGTATATCCATTGAATGACATACCAAATGCTAGAGGAAAGAAAAAGAACGAACGGAATATCAATTATTGTTTGAATAAAATATAACCTTCTCGGCTATATCCGAATACATGAAAAGTCGGACCAATTCGACACGCTACTGTTCCTGAGCGTTGCAGTAGATGAGACAATCATAAATAGATATAGATAAATCTATGGATAGGATAATTTTTTGTTCTTTTACCAAGAAGGTCAACATCGCCTAAATGCTCTTCAATATAGTCAGCGTCGCCGTGACCTAATAAGAGTAACATCGTTTGAGAAATATTCATTAGACACTTATACCTAATGGCGGTTGACAAGTAATCAAAACATCGATGCCACGCGGAATACGATTCCATTGTTTCATTATTTCATTGCGAGAAGAGTAGAATGCGGCTGTTTTATTGATTGATACCCTAAATAGATATCCAAAGTAGAGATCGTTTATTTCTATAGGAAATTATTTCTAACCAAGGTGATCCATAAAATTTAACACCGGCTATTTCAACTCCCATATCTTGCAGATAAATAACATTATTTAAATATTGTGAAATATGTTTCAATCCAAGTAATTTTAATTCCTTTTTAATCGTATTTCTTTCACATTGTTTACTAATAAAAAGAATAAAAGGGTTTTTTTCGAAAAATTTAATTTACGCTTGTTCATCAGTGAGATTTTCAAGATTGAAACAATAGTCGGAACTTCCTGGTACGAGAATTTTATATGTTGTTGGTAAATCATCAAGTGATTTGCGAAACTTAACAATATCAGTCCATTTTGAAGTACGTGAAATGTTGCCAGCTATGATAAGTATATCAGCCGGTGGACATGAATCCACTAATTTTGTCATATTATCAAATATGTCTGATGTACACGCTATACGAAGCTATAGCATAAAGAAAACATTTATTTTTCATTCGATAAACATTTGATGAAGAGAAATGATCCATCACCACCTTATTATTACTAATAGCTTTTCTGCTTGCCGATGGAAAGTTTTTTAAATTAGGCAGTTGGTCAAATCTATGTGTTTTTTCAAGCTGTGATAAGACTCTTAATGGATAATTAGCCATGGAATGTTTTCTTAACTGTATGGGTTTAGTCATTTTTTTCGATAATAAAAAAAATATTTTATGATAATTTTGCGCCAAAAGTTTGCTTCTTTTTTTATTTGGAATATATACTCGTATTAATTATTAAACAGGATGTTCTTCCTTGAAGTGAGAAGCGTTCTGTTAGAAGGAAACGTTTTAGTCGTGTACCAGCTTGTGGCCTGCATTCGATAACAAACGCTTGCTAAGAAATCGAGAAGGACGCCAAGTGCTCTTTTGATGTAAATGAGATAGATGTTTTTTTGACCTACATCGGCACAGACTGAACTCTAAAATCAGTATGATTGTATGCATCGCAAGCTATTATTTTTCAGTATTACCTTTAGCCTATTTCGATAAACAAGCTTGTTTTCTGTGGTTAATCATACGTCAAACGAAATAAAAAGCCTAATCGATCATTTCTTTTTTATTTTGTTCTTATTGTAATATCAATAGTCCAATCATTCGAAGTAGAAACATTTTCATGAAAAAAAAATTTCTCTAATAATATACTCGTATACATGTTAAAGGAATTTTCTCATTGATTGCTGCAATACAAACATGTATTGACATATTTCTACCTAAACATAGTATTTACCATATACGATATCATTCATTGACTTATCCAAACGTATGTTGCTTTTAGTTAGTAGAGAATAATCGTCCATCAACAATCAGACAACTGTTGAGTGACGTCTATATATTCTTCTGATATATCATTTATACAGTTCTGTAACAAAGAGGAATACGATGATTACGAATACAGGAAGAAAATAGCACAAACTAGATTTCCGTTGATAAATTAACTGTTAAAAAACAAGAAGAAATGATAAAGTTGAGTGGATACATAAAACAATCACCCTCAGCATGAAAAATATAATATTCAATGACAAAATATTGATCGAATTGAATAATGGCACCAGTGAGTGCTTGTGACATGCAATAGAATAAAAAATGGATCTTTCATCGAAATTTGTATTTTTCTGTTAATGGCACATTAAAAATGTCTTAAGTATTTCGTGCGTTACCATAGGGCATACTTCTGCTGTGCGACGTGCTTTTTTTTGCGTCGTTTCTTTTCTCTCTCTCTCTTTCTCTGATATTAGAAATAGTACTTAGTCAATTTTTTTCTTCTTCCGTTCTCTACTTTTTTCAATTATGCTTGTCACGCAAAAGAAAAAGACTTCCCTGTAGGTGCTAAATTTCTTTCCTGCAGCATAGTAGAGTCTATTCATTGCACTGAAATTATCCGTAAAGTGAAATCATAACAAAACGTTCTTCTTTTTGTTTTTTAAAGAATTTATTACCATCAACGCACACTGTTTTAATTCAAAACACAGCGTGCCTTTCACTAAGCAACAAAACCAAACGCACACACATGCAAATTTACAAGGAAAAAAAAACAAATGAAAACAAAACACTACAGTATTGCAGTCAATAGTACACATTATATTTCTGTACATACCATATTGAAGTGATACAAGACAGAATACATCTCACAAAACCAAAAAACTGTTACATCGTATTCAGGACATTTAAAAAAGTAAAGATATTGTCTGTACAGCATAAGAGTTAAATGTTCTTAATTTCAACTGAGATTTTCAATTAAAGTAAGATGTACAATTTCATTAGTGTACAAACATAAGCAGCACGTCATTTGCACAGAAGCAAAACGAATCATTGAATTGAGAGACAGCGGACGGAAGAAGAAGATAAAAGAAGAGGCAAAAATGTTCCATGTATGTTATAATGAATTTCCTCGCGAAGAAGAACTTGTTGATTTTGATGATGAAGAAGTGTGTCCCCGACGTCGTCGGGGTGCTAATGATAGACATAAGTCTCTTGACGACGGATATTTGAGCCATTCGGATTTCAAACATTCATCAAGCGTCGGTCTCTCTGACGAACGTATAGATAGACATTGTTCGATTAATTTTACACATTCTAGAAACAAGAAAAAAAAGGTTACTTCGACTTCGCACTATAGAATCTATCTTATTTATCTCCGCCCCGCTGTTACCAATTCCATTACTACTTGCACTGACTGAGCTTTTTTATTGTTAACTTACCAGGTGAAATGTGACTAGGAAAATGCGGCTGACATTTGATAATTGATAAATCATCAGCGAATGGAATATCGCCACAAACAAGATCATATAGAAGTATTCCTAAAGACCATACCGCTTGTGGTAAACCAAAATACCGACGACATGTAACCCATTCTGGGGCAGCATAACATGATGTACCATCGAAATCGGTATAAATTCCGTCATTTAATACAGCACCAGAACCAAAATCAATTAAATATAATTGTCCGGTATGTACATTAACAAGAAAATTTTCATCTTTTATATCTCGATGGAGAACCTAAGATAGGAGTAAAAAATTAATTATTTTTTTTTGCCGTTGGAAAAATATTATTTTTAACTTACGCCACATTGATGAATATCTTTGAGGATTTGAATAATTTGTTTAAAAAAATCTCGTGCTAAACGTTCATCGAGACCATTTGGTCGTTCGGATATAAAATCATATAGATCACAGCAATTTTCAGGTCTTTCAAGGACAATAACAAGTTGATCATTATGAATGAAATAATCAAGCATGTGTATAACATTTTTAACTTTGGCTACACGACGTAATAGATACACTTCAAGTGGTAATTTTCCATCCGGCTAACAGAAACAAGAAAAATATTTCCTTTACCGAAATTCTTCTTTTTTACAGATTTAACTTACTGTATTTATTTCACGCATGCGTCTTTTCGAAATCACTTTAAGCGCAACTGGCAGCCCATCCTTCTTACGTACACCAGCATAGACATCACCAAAACCACCTGAGGCTAGTTTATGGGCGATTAAATATCGAGCACGTAGTGGATCGACAACAGCTAAAAGAAAAAAAAATTATTTATTCAGATATAGACAAAAGAAATAGTTTTTTTTATACGTACAAGAATTTGTTTTACTTGTTGATGTTGTCGTTGCTGGTTGTTGTCGTTGATGATGGTGATGACGATGATGATGATGAATTATATTATTCGATTGTGAAGGAGTAAGAACCAGAGTACTCATTATGTTAAGACAAATATATATATATTATTATTATTATTATTATTAGCGAATGCTTATCTAAAAGAGAAGTATCCAACATGAAAAAAAACGCGTCGACTTTTTGCCGATGATTGTTACGAGTGTAGTGCGAGAATAAATCTATTGTTCTATGAAGGATATTCTGTATCGAAAAAAAAGAAAAAAGAAAAAAGAGAAAACAGAAGAAAAGAAAAGACGATATCTTTATCCAACACAAACATAATGCTGCTCCTGATTATTGCTTACCAAGCGAAACGACCTATACTACCGTTCATGAGGAAAAAAGAAGGAGAATATGTCGATGAATGAGTTATGTTGTGTGGGTGTGCGTCGTTGTGAGAGAGAAAAAAAAAAGAAGAAGAGAAGACGCCAAATGCATCATGTGAGGAAACTTCGTAGGGCACGATGTATTGGCTGTCATCCAAGTCAAATAGTCTAGTGACACTGGCGCACGAACGAACGAACGAGAGCGTACTTTTTTATTTTTATTTTTCCTCTTGCTCGTTTTGGCTCGCGATCAAAAGAGAGAGAATAGTGGTACTATGCTCTAATTTTTTTTCTATTTCGCGCTTTTGTTAAATCGGAAGATGTATTGGCAAACAATTGGTTTAATTAAAACAAAAAAAAACGAGAAAGAGCAACGACGAATAAGCAAATGTCTTTACTATCATTAGACTCATTCGGCTTATACTACAAAATAAACAATCAGATTTAGTTGTTAAAGAGGAAGAAAACAAAACCGAAAGGAATACATAGATATATGGGTGTGGCGTCGAAGACAATTCATGCCTTCTTATACATACCAACAACAATCGATAGAATAAAGGAAAAGAAAAGGCACATACGTTTAAATTTAAACTAGATGCACAAAGGAGTGTCTACTATTGTCAGACAGATATATGTGTACATTTCGGTGAAGAAAATCACAATGAAATGAAAAAACTTGTACTTGAAATATACTTATATACAGAGAAAGAGAGATTATTATTATTGTATAGAGAAAAATTTTCATCCGAGAATTTTTAGCATTCTTAAGCTATGATAAAAATCCCATGAAAATTTGCACGTTATTGCACATATATGTTCTCGTTTTCTTTTTGTGAAAGTAGACAATCAACAAAAAGACGCGACAGAATGAAAAATATTGCGCAAAAGACAAAGAGAGAATTTTTAGTAGCAACAGAAAAACAATGGGCCACTTCTATTTATATAATGTTCTATATAAAAAGAAAAAAGAGGCTAATTTATTCTTTAAATGCAAGTCTTATCAATGTTTGTTATTATTGTTGTCTTTTTGTTCCTTATGTATTAATCACATAAGAAAGAGAAAAAAGAATTATATTTATACCGTCTTTATTTATTTAACTACAAATTACTGCCTTTCACTATTTATTTTTTTGACGTCAAATCACAAATAAATCAATTGAAATATGAGAAAAATAGAAGGAAGTCTAGATGCCTGATTTTACTGTTTTTTCCCAATACACTACAAACACTCGAAAAAGAAATTTCTTTTTTGTACGATGTACCTACTCTAATAACTGTTTTGTGACATATTATATACCTTTATATTGATTGATACCTATAATTGAGAAAAATTTGAAACTAAAGGAAATGCTGTAACTAGCAAATAAAACATTGATTTTGTGTAAAGATGGTTCGCCAATAAAATCAATATTTCATATTTATTCATAGACAGTCTTAGATATTGCAGGTGCGGAGTGTGCGTACACCTATGTTGTGTCTTATATATATATATATATATATACTAAGGTTTTTTCTTTTTCTTCTTTTTTCTCTTTTCTTTTCTTTTTCATCTAGCTTTGTAAAATTATGAGTCAAAAGTGTATAGAATAGATACAATAGAGTCTCAATATAAATATATATATATATATATATATATGTAGATACATCATCTATATAGTTGATTCTAAATTAGGATCTGATGTTTATTAGACGCAAAAGCTAGAAGTATAAATTTGTTTTTCCTCTGCAACTTGACTACAAAATAATATCTCCTTGAAATACGTAAAGATATTATTCATGCAAGAGTTTGGTTTCTCTTAAAATAGAGAAATTTATCACTGACCTTGAATAATCAATGAGAATAACAACAGATATACATCGTTGTTTTCTTTCTTTCTTTTTGATAACAGGAATAATGAAGAGGCCACATGAACCATGTAGTAGATGATTCAAAAAAGATGTCTAAAAATCATCTTATGAACAATGATATCAAAGAAGTGTTGAACTATAAGGATACAAAGTTGAACCTCCTACCTATGTTGTTGAGATACAATCGCACGCCGTATATTGTTTTTATCCTGCCGGGATTGTGCTAACAGCTTTTTTTATGATATCTCTCATGTCTTTTATATCGCAGTGTACTCTCTATCAATAGAAGATAGATTACAATCTACGTTATCTGATCCTCGTGTTTGTCTATTTTGAAATGCGTGTCCAAAAACTGATTTTTGGACAATAGGAAGATACCGAGGAATAGGATTGTAAAAGTCATTTTTCAAAAATAACCGATCTTGTCATAGGGAGAAAGTAATAAGATGAATACATTTGAAGAGAAAAAAGTAACATTCAATACTATCTCTATGAAGAATAGAGAAATTTTTGGAGAAGGGAAAATTTCGATTCGCACAATCAAACTCTAATTTCTTTCTCATTTCGCATATATACACCATAAATTGCTTTTATTACTTTCGTTCTAATCAAAGTTCAAATAGATTGTGTCGGGTTTTAATTCACTCTCTAGGCATAATAAGTCGTAAAATGGCATAATGTTCATGGTAAAGTAAATTTCATGACATAGGAAAACTGAGACACTACCATCACTTTGAAATCATATAAATTATAAGCGCGATCATCGAACCACGCAAGTGAAATCAAGAGGAACTGATTCCGATACCATAAAATCAGTTCATTTCCTTTTTGTTCTATTCTGATCGCGGTCTGATTAAACAAGAAATTCAATATCAGATTCGTGTTCAGAATGAAAACTTGACTTAACTCCAATCGATTGCAATGATTCTATAGCCATAGGATCAGTTTTCCCCCTCATTATCGAATATCTTTTATGAATACTTACCATGACTACATTCGTCTGTATTTTTTTTCACTCATCACATTTTCATGTACTCAAATTTATCGGCGAAATCTACCTCGGTACATGAACTCATTTGCATCATTCGGCTTTTCATGAAGAAAAAAAAGCAGATTGAGGCAAATTTGAACAGCATATTACTCTCACTCTCATCTCGATAGTTTTCTTCCGGTATTCCCATGTTCACATACGATTAGCACCTATGTGTTGCTCATTAAGCATAACAAGCAGAGAACTGTCTACATTTGAATCTTACAGACAATTGTGAAACAAATGTATATATTTCGTATTTGATCGGATAACTTTGATCATGGAGAGAAAAAAAAGTGCGAACAACTTATTATGATCAGCATATTCGATTAAAAGATTATTTCACAGATAATCAGCTTATACATATACGTATTCATATAAAGATAAAACGCATGATTGACATAGCAGATGGATACATAAGGAGATATAGAGAAAGAGAGAGAGAGAGAGAGAGAAAACGTCGTTGTCTAACATTGAGTCTAGTAGTAGAGTCAACACAATACTATTGATTATATTGTCTGAAAGACAGAATAGATATCTGAGAATGCTTTTATTTCTCAAGAATCTTCTACCATGTAAATAATAAGAAATCTTATGATTGAATTGTAAAAATCTAAAGTAAAACGAGTTATCTATCAAATACTGATTGTCAGCTGGAAGCATCATATCTATAACAAGTTTTTCTGTTCTCTTGCATGTCTTTAATGCTGATGAAATTTGAAGATTATCAGTACTTTTCATGGAAGTAAAAAAAAGAATTACTCTGTTCTCACGAAGAATATTTTACATTAGACAGCGGAAACGCTCTTAATATTAAATAATGATCTTCCGGAAAATTCAAAATAATCATGTTGTTATAGTCTCGAGTATGCAACACGCATAAGTAGAGTACAAAGAAGAGCTATTTATCTTGCTTTTCTTTATTTTGTCAAAATGAAGAGAAATGTTTCCTTTTTTTTTGAATTCTAAAATGCATTGTAATGTTTGTGTAATAACAGTGAAAATTTAATATGACATCACGAGTTTTTATAACTCTTATGTGTCATGAGAGAGAAAATAAATCAAATATTTGCATGTACTTAATCATCGGATTCGATCGTGAAACTTATTTTCTTAGTGAAATGAAATCCTTCAATAAAAATAAAATCAAATACTAAACATGTCAACGTAAAACTATTTTTATTTATCAACAACGAAATGCGGTTGGGTTAGTTTGCCTTTTTCTTGTATTCAAGTTCCTACTCGTATCAATTGAAATATAATTCGACGTGCGAAAATAATTTCATGGCAAATAATTTAGCTTCATTGCATACAACATTTGTTTTTATTATTATCATCAATCTATGTCGTTTTCTATCAATACCTACACGGCGTGAAATAAAATAAAGTTGACGGTGAAACTCTCGTAGAAGGGAAAAAACTTGCGCCTTTGCCAGTCATTCTTCAATAGTTAGACATGCTGCTATAAAAAGAATCTCATTCACATGTTGAGTTGGTGTCGAATAACGACTATTGTAATTTAAAACTATTCTTCAGAATAATTTCATTCTATTGATCGTTTCTAAAGTAAATAATCATAAACAGTGGAGTATACTGTACGTTATCTAACATAGTAATTACAACACAGACCTAACTATTATTGTTTAAAATGCGCCAGTGTCTTGTTTATTTGTAAATAGAATGGTATCGATAGAATATCTGCATCACACTCACGAGCTGTTATTTGAAAAAACAAAATTATTTGAAGATACATGTTATGTCTGTTTATTTTATTGAAATAGCGAGCCAACAACTGAATAGAAAACAGAACTTCTAAATTAAGTATTCATTCTGCTAGAGTGGCGATACCCTGATGAAATTGTAAATCTTTGAATAAATCATACAAATATGCGAATGTCAATATAAAACGTAATATAAATGGAATTTTTCCCGGAATATTTTTATCAGGAAGTAATATGCTGACTGAATGAGTGAACTGTATAGTATTAAAAAACTATAATGATTAATTATTCGATTTTATTCTAATCGAACTACCCATGTCTAGTCAATATAAGACATGATATAATTTCTTCGAAAACATAGCCAAGAACACGTGAAATCGCCACGTCACTAATCTTTCGAGGTAATATTCAAAGTTCACTCATAGAATAGTTTTTATATTGTTTAGAACTTATGCACGATCAAGAAAACTTTTGCATACTATAATATTTTAAATTAAATCAATAGTTCCTTAATACGTCAACATATATGTTAGTGTTGTAATGACCTATGCATCGTTTCATTTTAAGAAAAAATCAAGACTAGGCCAATATTTATAAAAAAAAAAAAAGCCAACACAATTAATTTATGAAGATGATAGTTTTCTTGTATTGACTAATTTTGATGTTGTGATATCGTAGATAAAATTGTTAGAAATTATTGTACATTGATTAGACTGACATACTGATTGAAGATTATCGTTTATGATCGTTTTCTAATTCAGATTATATATTCGTTAGAATATGTATTTTTTTTCTTCATATTTTTGACTGATTTTCTTTGTTTCCAAATGATTGAAATTCAATTAGTAACTTATATTGAGAATCACGAGCTACCTTTAATTACACGCTTCATTATAACACGTTTTTATCTATATTTCTTGTTATCAATAGTCATGAATAGATGACATACTGATAAATTTTATGTGTAGAGTGAAGCGCCGAAGACACATCTATCCACACTCACTCGTGATTGATTGGCCATGTATCAATGACAATATGATATCATCATTGATAGATAAATAGTGAAACATTTTTTTTTGCTTTTATGAGTTTTTACTTGCCAAATGCATGGGAAAAGAAATCAAATGGCCTTGTGTATATAGAAGGATGTTATCAAATTTAACATGATTGTCTAAACATCAATCTTACAGCAGTCTTTATCTATTAAATTTTATTAATTGTTCGCATAGAAGAGATTGATGTCTAAATAGATTATGTTAACTATGATTCACTTTTTTCTTTCTTATAAACACTTTATCGTTGTCAATATTAAGAGTAGTTTTTTTCTGTGTTTCACAAGGCAACAAGGATTCCACTAATTTATCGAGGTATTCAATTATCGTGCTGAATGTAAAAACATCATAGTTGAAGAACTGGTAGCTCGACAGAATCGGTTTTTACCTCAATAAAATATCCCAAGAGATAATTCGTAAGATCAGGTCGAACAATGGAGCACACAAACTCTGTGTCAGAAGAGCCAGTCTATGCTTCAGAGCTACAGCTAATATAAGGAAGTAATAGTGAGAAAATAAATCTCATGTAACATCTCTTTTCCTTCAGCACAATTCAATTTGTTTCGCATTTCTGGAACATCGAATGTTAAGGTTCAGACTTCTTTAAACCTTATATAAGGAAGAATCTAGAAATTTTGGCTCTGCTCGTTTAGAATCTTAAAAATATATTGAAGTTTTCGATGCAAGACAACTGAAAGTTTGCCGATATCTTCTCCTTCAAAGAAAAACAACAGCACATTGGTTTATCATCCTAGTGCTTCTTTTCAAGATCTTTCAAGAAAAATAAATATTTTAATTTACAATACACAAAAACATACAATAAATACAAGATTAAATGACTATAGCATTAAAATGTGACGTTCATGAAAAATTAAACTGTGTGAATGATCGGCTGCTTGTTAGTATTTAAGAGTTTTGTAAGTTTAAAAGCATGCGAAGCCATAATTACCTATAAAATAGGTGAAATAGAACCATACTGTGAAACAACCGCGACTACTTACTTTTACTGCAAAAAGAATGATAAGTTCAATAGTACAAAATATACTACATATGATTAAGTCAACAACATCACTCTTCTTTTGGTCGACTTGTCTTGCATAAAATATAAAAACACCAAAAGAAACCAAACGAACTATTGTTAAAATACCAGTGAACACTAAATTGGTGACGATGAAATATGCAAACTAAAGATAGAAGATTATTTTCAAAAAAATGCTTTCTATTTTACGACTTTTGTTCATGCAACATTCGCTCAAGAGACTTTCTGGATAATTAATAAAATCCGTTCAAAGTTCTAAAGTACACATCTCTGTATGGATCATTTTTTAACTGCCTAGCACTTTTCAAGATGACTTGTAGGTCTAATTAATCTATCAATTAACTTTTTGTGCATACACATTCTGAATATCGCTTTTACGAAGATACTAATGATAGGAAATATAAATTTTTTCCCAGACAATCTAAAATACGTATCATTTTTTTCTTGTATTAGTTGTTAATTAAAAAACATAGCATACTAATAATAATCCATTTGGTTTGCAATTGTACGTAACAACAAGTCCATAAACATTCCAAAGAAACACTGTCATAGCCTCAATAACTGTTGCCTGTTGAAGTGACCGCTTCGCATTGTTTTCATTTGACAGTTGTCTACCGGCAAATAAAATAATCATTGCAAGTCCCTATAAATGAAATAAACGTCTAAAACAACGTGAATTTTTAAAGAAATTGAAATCTATGGACAACACTCAAGTGAGCTTTAAGCGGAATACAAGCCGTTTTTCATAAACTATTTGCTGCGATCATTTAATAGCAAATTGAAAAACTCACAAGATTAATCATGATCACGACCAAGAGGCGGCTTCGAGTTCGTTTTAATGGAGATTCATCGATTTGCGGTAATTGTGAAACAACAGGCATAGGATCATCATCCTTCGTAATCATATATTTAGTTTCTTGATTCTGTTGCATTTGAATAATAATTCGAAGTTTTCTAACCTGCAAATAACAAACAAAAGAATAACTGAGAAAAGAGCTAATAATATTAGTCTGATGATAAATAATAGTAAAATCGTTCAGTAAAATTCTGTTTTTCTGTACTCGATCTAATCTGTCTGCACTTTTGAATCAAGAATATTTCGCCAGCTAGGCAATAATACTGTAATGAAACTGATCGGATGCATAACAAACGGACGGCTAGTTTGAAAAAGAAAAGAGATAGAATAGATTCTTCACTACATGCAAACTTATTATAATTTCATACAAAGGACAGACAAAATGCATAAAAGACGAAGAAAAGTTTAACGAGATATGGATCACGAAGGAAGGACATGTTAAACGTATTTATTGGTGAAATACGGTAACGAATAAAGATTATTACGTAGTAGTTACGTTTTTTCAGACTGATTTAAGACCAAAACTAAATAGTAGATCGTGTTTATTTCGTTGAATATGAAAAAGCTAGTCGTTCAATACCCGTTTTCCCTCTCTTACACGAACAGACCAAGAATATGCTGTTACATCATTGTAATTAAGAAATAAAATTAAACAGAAAAAAAAGCTATTAAAATGTGGTAGCTAATCTTGCCATGTATTCACTTTCTTTCGGTGATCCTGTGAAACATTGAAATAATAAACCTTTACTAAAATAATTGGATAATGCGGGTCGTTCTCTTATGATTTGCTCTAGTTTAGACTGATGATTGATAATCTTCTTCATCGGGTAATCATTTTCGACAATAATCACGAGCTGTTATATATGCTTCAAAAACAAACAAATCAGCAATAGTCGGTTCTGGTTGATCATAATAAAATGACGTTGAACTTTTTCGAAGTAAACTATTCAATGCTTTCAAACCGTTTTGAATTTTCCTTGCTAAAAGATTCGTCGGATTTTTTTTTCATCTACGAAATCAATCATAGTCCATATGCATTGTAAAATATTGAATATCACATCGGTATATGCACATGGAACAACACCATCAATATAACCGTGCAAAAGATCTTTATCGTCAATTGACGATGTTAATTTTCCATATAAATCAAATTTTCGTGCTAACAATTGTCCTAAGAAAACAAAAGAAAATATATAGTGTTTCGTTTTTTCTAACGAAATAAACCTACTGGTAAGGTTTGACCGAAAATTTGCGTATGATTCCAATGCAATACAGGTAACTGATGGAATGGTCCAGAGATAGTATCATCATTTTTACGTAGGGGCCATGATTGAGCTGCCTTCTCAAGTAATTCGAAATTTTCTTTACAATCAACATTTTTATGTGTGTATGAAATATCTTCAAGCATGTAACAATACTAGCTACTTTTATTGGCATAATAGAGACTTTGAAAAAAGTGCTATACGATAATAATACTACGAAATGATGAACCGCTTTTGTCTTTTCTTCTTCATGATACGGCATGCCATCAGTTCACATAGGATATGCTCAAGGTATCAAGATCGTTTGCTTCGTTTTTCTGCATACTAGTTTAAAAATCAATATTCATCATTCGTGAAAATGTTAAAGGTCATTCAATTCACTATTGTAAATGAACGAACACAGATATCAAGACCAATAGAAACAAAAGCATAAGTGTAGAATTCGGTTGATATATTTATTGCATAGTCTTTCCATTGGTTAGATACTCAAGTGCGATAGTTATGTATATTGATGTTGAAACGATCCTTTTCTGTTTCAGATACTTGAGGGCCAACTCGAATGGTTCAATTGTGAATTTTATTTACTAGCTTTCCGGTTATATCTGCCACACTGAGTCCATATGCCTACGGCAACAGTTTTGATCGGACCCTGTATGCAACTGCGCTCATTTCAGCTTTAATTTTGCAATTATCACCAATCGAAAAAGATTTTCTCTTAAATTTGATATCAACTAGTAGGCGTTGCTTGTCATACTTGGATCGAATGATGGAAATAGTCGATATCACCATGGTAAACCTATATTGTTTCGGAAATAAATAATACACCTACTATTTACGTCATGAACTGAATGCCTTTGAAATATGTTATTCATCCAAGACATCAAAGGTGTAGATTAATAATGTTTAAATTATAAGAAAGAACATCAAATTAGAAATAGTGATGTATGCCATTGATGTGTTCCTTATTCTGTTATCTTTTCTCTTTATAAGATTGTTGTTAATTATAAAGCTATCGTGTCTCATTTACTCTCTTAGTCGATGTTAAAAATGCTAGTCTTCAATTTACATCCTTTTTTCGGAAGAAGATATGAAGTTTAAGTTTTAACTCAAATTTGTCAGTCTGCGTGTTGCTTTTCCATTAGAATTAATACTTGAATAACTATTTTGCTCTTGCCAATTCACACTAGAATTTTATCCGATGGAGATTTATATAAATCATTGAGACGCTTCTTTGAGCTTTTTGATCCCTTTTGTGAAATAACACATAGTGTCATCCTATTAATAAATAACAATGCATTCATTATATTTCACATATGCTCGCAGCTAAAGTACAGATTTGTTTTTCCATACATAAAAACTATAATCGCCTTAAAGGCATATGAATAGATATGTTTAAGAAAGTTCAAAATCGCTCTTCTTTTTTTGTTCGCAGGATAACCAAACATGAGAAAACGAATCGCGTTAGAGTTCTTTTAGATCGGCAAGTTTTAACCATGCTTCGAATTTTTTTTCGATGTTAATGCAGATTTGTTGGCATGTGAACAATCATTTCAATCAATGGAATAGAGAAGTTCGTATGAGAATAAGTTACCATTTTTTTTGCTTTTTATAATCGAACTTATTTAGTCAGGCGTAAGGTGTTTTCTACTGTGCAGGTCGATAATTAAGTGGTAGTTCTATGGGGTCCACACGATGTCGAGATCTAAAAATTGGTTTTCTACATTCTTTGCTTGTTGCTACATAGGCAAACGGCACGATAATGTAAACGAGATAGAGCGTATAAAAAAGCCAGAGAAGTGAAATATAGATGAGAACAATCAAAAAAATTTCTAGTGGAAATTATGTAATGAGATAAACGATAACAATGGAAAGTAGTTGAATGAGCAATTTTCTGTTCTTGCGCCATGTAAAAGATCTATTTTCCAAAATAGTAAAAACGTCGACATTTTTGAAAAATGACTCTTTCTAGAAGAATTCCGTTAAACACAACAATTATTAGTGCCGGAATGAGTACAATAAGAATCCAATCAGCAGTAAGCATTCCAACATCACTATTAAAGCATGGCCCACCACAAAGAAATTGAGTACCATCAGACCAAGTTTTAGTGCACGTATAACTGAACGTAAGAGAGTGACATATCAAACGGTAACAAACGCAAACATAAACAAAATTGGAATGTCATGTCTAAAAAAGGTATCATGAAGTCGAGAAGCAAATATTAGAAGATAGCCATCAATAGATGGCCATGTCATTCACCAGCTGGAAATGCCTTGCAATAGGTAATTTCCTATGATCCAGTATGACAGACCGATAGGCTGAAAACACGACGTGTATAAAAGTAGCTAAGTGAAATGGGAACCAGATCACACATCAACTCGACAAAATCGATCATAATATTATTGGAACGGCGACGTAGACTGCGCTCCCGAATAACACATATGATGATATAGAGTGAGCATATGAGCGATGGTTCCAATGAAATTGAGAACAGAAGCAATTTTATTGCACGCGTAAGTGGCGTTTCAAGACTGATCACCGATGATGCATATATGTCAAACTTGAAACTTGATTTCAATTTTCAACTTTTAAGCCAATAGCATTTTGAAGAATCGTGACTCACACATATATCGCTATGAGTTGAAAGTTGAAATTTTCTATTTTCAACTGAATTCTAGTTTCACGCTTGACACTACTGCCTAAGAAAAGGCAGACCTGTATTAGGATTCTGTCTATTGCTTTCATGTAGACGTAAGTCCCTAAATTAAAGAAAACATTCTAATGCACTTAATCAAATATCTTTTCTTTATATTTTTTTTCTTGGAATTGTCATTGGAGAGAGAGAGAAATTCAACTATTCTCAAATTCATTCTATTGTTCATTTCTTTTGGCATAAACTTAAGAGGAAAACAGCCGGATTGAATCTTGAAAATTATTGTAGTCAATGTACTTTCACTTCGCATGAAATCAAACAAGAAAAACTTTTCCTATTCTCTAATTGTTTTATTTACATAAGCCGACAAAAGAAAAAGGATGAAAATACTCTGTCGATTTAATGATGATTACTCGAATGCTTTCTTTTGAAATACAAGCGTCAGAAGAGTTGCACCATTTAATAATTCTTTTTGGCTTGCGCCCAAAGCAAAAGCAAAATTCATGCTTCAAATAATTCTAAGAACTGCATATTCGTTTGAAATTGATATTAACTAAGACATAATTGAGTTGTTTTATTGTACATCAAATAGAATGTTCTCAGACATTTGAAATGAGGCGAGTCTCGCGAGAAAATATCTTAGACTTCACTTTCTTTCGCTCTCCTTGCCCAATTATCGAAGGTAGAGAATTCTAGTCTCAATGCAACTTCCAATTTCTTTTTTTTCCAAATAACAGATGCGGTAGAAATGCAACCGATGGTGGTCTCTTCGAACATTAACTGTGTTCATTATTGTTCAATTATTTCCATACAGTTTCTAGTTCACTGTTTTTTGAAAAAATTCGATGTTTCGTATTGCAATCACAAGTTTTAATTGTATGGTATTTCTTTTGCTCATAGTAATTAGTACTGCGTGCGAATTGCTAGATGATTTGAAAAATAGATTTATTCTACATGAAAATATTTTCGATCATGTCGGTACTGCTTGACGATTGTAACAGTACGCTCGGACTCAACTTCAAAGTTAAAAATGAAAATTTTCCCGGAAAATCTATTGTGGCGAATTTCATCAATTGCGAAACGAGGCACCTATACGTACTATGGTCAACATCTTATTCAGATGAGATTATAAGAATTTTCCTATTATATCTACATGATAAAATCCATATGTTTCTCCTTTATTTCTTTTGTTTGTATATTTCCTTTTCTGTCACGTTATTTGACAGCTATATATTTTTACTTTCATGGCATATATCATTTCGTATTTCCTACAAGTCTTTATATATGTACTAGTGGTGACATTTGTCAAATAACAACACAAGTGATTAGCTGTTTTTACGACTGACATATGAATACCATTGGAAATGACCTTAATATCTTTTGTCTTCCTGTTTTTCTTGCCACGTGTAACTACTCTCGAAGAGGAAATATGTGAATGTAATATATGTGCTTCCTTTTATAATATGCTTCTACTCTAGATTATTCTTCTTGGCTCTGAAGTTTTATCAAAGTTCAGAAATCGCTATCAATTATATACGTAAATCAACTATGGATAGTATCTTTCCCGACGAGATATTGTTACAAATTTTTCGATATTTACCTGTATTAGATTTATTTCGGGGTTTCTATAATTTAAATTCAAGGATCAATGCTTTTGGCGCATACGAGGGACTCTGTAAAATGATTTTCAGCAATCAATTTCCAAAGTTGAAACATGTGTCGATACCCTATGGCAATGGTCGTTATGTGGATGGAATCAAAATATGGTCGATCAATTTGATTTACCTTTACATTGCATGCTGCAATAAATCGCTGTTATACTCGTTACTTGATCATTTACCGAACTTGAACTTTTTTCAATTTGAACTTGGCGCAAATAATGGAAGACCGATGAAATGATTAATTTATATCGATGTTTGCCTAATTTAGAAGACACAAGCATTATTATGTACTATTTTGGTACAATAGACATGATACTCTATCGCAATGTAAGAAGTTGAAGTCATATTGCTGTTTTATTCGATATACAACCGAAAGCCCACCTCAAACGTATCTAGATGAAATAAAAAAAGTCGTATACTCTATTTCAAGATTGCGAGTTTAGTTCCTGGGATGAAGAATCGTGCTATTCTCAATGTCGAATAGAAACAAGATATCGAAAATAAATCATTCACATAAGTAATCTAGTTTTTCTTTTAAAAACTAATCATGCTAAGAAATCTTTATCTCTTATATCTTTGATATTATTCATAATCCTGTTAACATATTACTCTCTATGGTGGATCTCATACAGCAAGTGTATTGTGAGATCCTTACAACTGAGAAAAGTCAATGATCGGCAATCTTTATCCCCATAATTTATTCTAATGTAAAAATCTCACGTAATAAGACATTATTTTGTTTGGACGGAGTTTTTTCACCATAGAACAATTTTAATTGACGAATTAAACTAAGACACGTAAACTCTTTTTTGATATGACTGTCTTTCGAAATCTCTCTTTACCAAGTTCAGATAGGTCGCAATCACAAATGTAGAGTTTTTTCAGTGGCTGATGACGTTTGATCATATCCCAGAGTGGATCAATACTAGAGTCCGTTATTGACTTGTTTGATGAAAGATAGAGTTCTTTAAGAGTGCTGTTCTCACTGCCAAGTACTTTAGCTAAAAGTCGAACACCTCGATCGCTTATATCATTTCCATTTAACCAAAGTTGAATTAATGTTCGATTTGTCTTTAGCATATTGACGATATATTCTACACCCGTATCGGTTATACCATTCTGCGAAAGACTAAGTTCTTTGAGAGTATGATTGTTACTGGAGAGTGTCTTAACAAGATACTTAACACCTATATCAGACACACAATTACGATAAAGATTCAATGTTAACAATGCATTGTTGTCCAGTAAAGCATCGGCAAGAATCGATACACCAATGTGTGTAATCTTATTTCCTCCTAGTTCGAGCCATGCACATCGTTTATTGATGATAGCTTCATTGACCACTATCTCTATGTCTTCATCTTCTAATTGTTTCGAACATAAATCTATTCTGGCACGAGGACTACATTGTGCAATGAGTTGTTTCAGTTGTGCCTTATTTTTATGGTGATTCGGTTCTAAAACCAGATAAAATATTGAGAGAGGGATTAATTGAAAAATTTGGTTTAGTCCTGATTATGATTCAATAGTTCACTATCGAATGAAGTCTGGTTGCATATGTAAAAATTGTACTGTGTAACTTACCCGAAGATGCTTCGTTCATAAGAGCAGACGGTGTTACTGATTGTATTAATGGTACGGGTGAGTCAATTTCTTTCAATTGAATCATGTGAAGACCGTGACCCTGATCGAGAGAAGCAACAACTTTGAATTGAGTAGCAGCAATAAGAAGTACTTCGTCTTCATGTGGAAAAAATGAATGATTACGAATATTTTTGCCGGAATTGCATTCAATTGTAAACATGGTTCGTGCTTCGGTTTTACCCATAAATAACTCACATTGAAGAACGTCCATGGAGTCAGTACATGAAGAAAATCCCCACCATACAATTGTTTCGCCTTTTCGATATTGTTCACTCAAATCTAATTTAACACCTCGATAGACAAATCGATGTTGAGTTGGCAGACGTGACAGTGCAGTAAGAATCAATTTAAGATAGAGATACCACGGATCAAGATTTCCTCTGTCTTCTGATCGAAGTGCAGCATTCAAAGCAAAATATAGACATTGTTCAATTGGTTCCCATCCCATCGAATAGAGCATAATTGATGCTGACTCGTCGTGTGTTAAACCATCTGCTGGTTTCTTGCATTTTTCTTTAGCCATATAGGCATAATCTTGTACAGCCGGTAGAATAGGAACAAGTGGTTGTACTGCTTCTTCCAGTGACATTAATGGCATTTGATTGTAGCCCTGAATTGGCATGAGCATCTGTTGCGGTTCTTTATCAACATCGGAGATGCGCAGAATACGTTGCTTCGTGTCATCAGTGGCCATATTGAATACAGGAGAATTCTTTGATATTTCTAAAAAAGATTGCTTCAATTCGTTTTATATGATATGCATAATAGAAAATTGATTGGGAATTTTAGTTTTATTGAAAAACTTCTTCTCCATCCAGTAAGAAGAAGCACACGTGGAACAGCACTCTCACGAGAAAGAAAATGCAGAATTGCGCATCAATGTTGAGACCATGTATAAACAGAAATAATGCTTGATAGAATGCAACTTTCTCTTTCTTTTTGTTCTCATGCAATGCGCAGCGTTGCCATGGCGTACAGCCGATCATCAACGTGCACTAGAATCAGAGAACGAGTTATTCGTTGAGAAAAAAATTATTTTACATAGACATGTTTTGGCACATCACTTCAATGTTGGATGAAGGTAAACATCGATACTATTCAAACTTGTATGGCTAGCAATCGAGCAGCAGTGTCAAACTTGAAACTTGAATTCAGTTGAAAATAGAAAATTTCAACTTTCAATTTTCAACTCATAGCGATATATGTATGAGTCACGATTATTCAGAATGCTATTGGTTTAAAAGTTGAAAATTTTCAATTGAATTCATGTTTCAAGTTTGGCATATATGTGCACTGTCATGGAAGTATTCTATGGATTCACCGCAGAGATATTGATTTGACACGACATTTTTAGGTTCAGCTTAGTATTCAGAGTTTATTTAGTATTAGTTATGAAAATAGTTAAGTCACTTAAGATAAAGATTTTTCAGGTCGCCGTATGAATAAACATTTGAAATCAGAGAACAGTTGCGTACTGAAAGCCAAAGTGTACGCTTGGATCGTATTCTGTCATCTCTACGACAAGTTCTCCCCCATGAATACGTGCAGTAGGATTGTCTGTGCGCAAGCCAACATCAATAATGTGCGTTCCGGGACTTAATAACACCACGTCTGTTTTCGCACAAGAGGCACATACCCAAGTTGCGGATCCACTGTGGAAAAAACTCCCACCCTGCGCATCCACCTGGCCTAGGTTCAAACCCATTTGTGATGCTAACGTTGCGCGTCGATCAGTATTGGGCATAAGTCTATTCAAATTGAGAACGTTATTGTCGATCAATATTCGAATGAAACCACGGCCATTTATTACATTGAGTAAACACGAACCTTGAAAATGAATTTTATATATCATTGGCACTGTATGGTGAACGCCTAGTGACAAGTCAGAAACTTTGGAAAAGACCTGTGACGCTGATGAGGCATCAAAAGACCAAGATGCTTGGCTTCGTCTGTAAAAATGTACGGGCTGTGCTGCTCTGAAATTACGAGAACTACTTTTTGATTGAATCGCCGGCACTTCTATGATTTTAATTGTAGTTGTATTTGATGCAATGGTACTCGTCGTAACTGAAGTTAAAACTGGGAACAGAGTCGTCAGACAATTTGCGACCATTTGAATTTCGTCCTTTGAAGTTGAGTTTTTTGAAAAAAATAATCACTTAATCAAACTAAAAATATTATTAAAGCAATTGTAATTCGCTTAATATATTTTTCGGCAAGAAAAACAATTCATTAAGAGATGAGTGTGGGCGAGCAAGATCAGTCATCCTATTCCGCAATGTTGAACATTCCGAAACTAGTTCCTTTTGAAGATATTATTAGGTACACAAAAAGATTCATAAAGCACTAGTTGAAAGCTACAGTCTACCAAGAAAAATGTAAAACACTAACTGTCAAAAATCAGGACACATACTCTCAAGACGAGAAGAGCATCATTCGCACAAATTGAACTTCATATCATACAAGAGAATATAAATCATCTTGCGTTTTCTACGCTGGTCGATGAAGTTGCAAGAAAAAAATCATACCAACCCAGTTAAGATGCTTTGACTGACAGCAAAACAAAATAGGGACATACCTTATATAGATTGATTAATGATCTCGTATTATGAGGAATAAATTTTCTTCTATCATGCGGTTCATTCAAGATTATTCATTTCAATTATTATTCAGTGCATTCGACTATATATAATTCAAACGAAACAGGAAAAACATTTACTTGCTGGTTCTCATTCCCATAGCATTCAGGTTATTAACTAGATTTTCATCATTATATTTTGCAGAAGCGAAGAACGAAGAAAGTAAAGAGTAAGTTAATCATTTGCAATTCAAAAAGGTCTAAGCAATGACTTGAGAGTGTGCATATTTATTCGATATTCATAATCACACCCATACCATTATCTATTCACACCTTCAGGCTGGTATACGTTGCAAAATTCGTTTAGAAAAGAACATTATTGATTTATCATTTTCGAACTTTTTAAGAATCGCACAAAAAAGAGAGTTATTTGAAGAAACAAGTTTAAAACAAAAGAGAAAGTATAATTAAATTGTTATGTGTCTTTGAAAGATTCGTGATATCAAATCTTTCTCATATATATTTCATTACTGAAAACCTAAGAACGAATTTAATTCGACGACATTATATTTTTGAATTGACGCATCAATGCTGATGAATCAGCTTTAGCTGGTAATTCAACAAGAACTTCTTGTTTTGATATAAGTTTCGTTTGATTAATATTCAATCCATTAACTTGTTCACGAATTTTTGATCCATTAATAGGTAAACGATAAAGAGTTCCAACGAGAGAAAATATTTCATATGATTTGAGAACATCTTTTGAGCTTGAGCGATCTTTTTCACTGTCAATTGTTCGTTTAAATAACTCCATTTCTTGTTCATAACTTTTCATCATTTCTTTAAGACCTTGAATAACATCATTGTTTTGGCTACCAGAGTTTTTTTTCATTTGTTCTTCTCTTATAAAAAGTCTCAAATATTCTAATATATCATCATTTAATGGAAGCATTGAATTTGCATGAAGAAATTTTGCAAGTTTTTTATAAATATCTTCTATTTTTGTCTGTTCATCTCTTAAATCACTTATTCTTTTATCGATATCAGCTAATGAACATGATCCATTCAGACGAGCAATATTAGTTTCATATTCATATGTTATATGTTGATGTTCACTCCATAAACAATTACATTTTAAACATTTACCTAAATGAATTTAAAATACAAAAGAAAAATTTTCTTTTAATAAAGAAATGAAAAAAGTTTAATTAATAACCGCAGTGAAATATGTTTTCTCAATTGAGCTAATGAATATTTTTTTTACTTTTATTTTCTTCACATAATCTTTATAATAATGAACTAAATTGATAAATAAAATATAGTCAATATCTAACCTGTTTTATAATTCATTGCTTCACATTCTTGCATTCTTCGATCATTAATAGTCTCTTGTACAACACCTTTCAAATAACATTCTTCATGACATTTTGATATGTATTCAATTTTTGTTTGATTATTAACAGTTATAGATTTACAACATTTTTCATTAATACAAACAGTTCTTGGATGAGCTAATGGAATAATTTTAGCTTCATTTTGTGGTAAACCTTGATTAGCTAATTGCGGATTTTTAAGGACATTTTCTTTATGTTGTTTAGCAAGTTGAATATTTTCTTGAATAAGTTTTGCTATTTCAGCAATTGGACGTGTTAACTTTCTAACCAATTGTTCAGCTTCATTAAGTGAAAATGCATTACTAACAGCAAAAAGAGGACGTGTCACAATACAATTAATGAGATTTGAATATTCCTTAATAGTATGATCCCAACTTTTTTGATAGCTTAATAATTGATCATTATTTAATCGAACACCATTTTTTCTCAATGCTAAATATCTAAATGATTCATTATCTAATAGGAAAGTATTATCTCGTGAAAATGGTACATCAACATCATGATCTTTTTTATGTTGATCTAACAGTACTCGAAGAATTTTTGATGTTGCACCAGGTTTAAAAAAAGTCGCTCGAGCATTTGTAAATACAAAAATAATATTTTGATGTGCACTTTTATGTAAATGTCTTAGTAATTCATTGATACAAAATCTAAAAAGTATTGTTAAACGTTCTTCATTTGGTTTAAGTAGAATACAAATTCCATTTAAATGTTCATATTGTGATATAAAAGTTAAAATGTCAGAAAAAGCTTTTGTATCTAGTTCAAGACCACGTGTATCACCAATAACAGGTGAATTGATTATTCTTAAGTTTTTATCTCCGACAGGGAAAACAAAGCTTCGACATCGTTGTGTACATGATCGGCCTTCTTCATTACAATCTTCATGTTCATTTCTCTGTCCAATTTCAATTGTTTTTTGTTCAAGTGTATTACCGTCCGTAAATGAAAATGCTGATGGTATAACTGCTTGAATTTTATCCTTACAAGCTTCTTCTAATGTATCATTACATAAATAATTGGCTAAAGCGTTGATAAATGTTGATATTCCAACACCTGTTTGACCCAATAATAAAACATTTATGTCATTGGATGGATCACTATTTCTATTGGCCTTTATCATTAATGGTTCATTTGTTTTTGCCATATTGTTCACTTAATTTTAAATATAAAAATTGTATTATTTTCTCTTAATTAGAAAAAGTTAGTTTTCAATAAAACTCATTTGACATGAAAAGAATTATGGTATTCATTTTTGCAAATCTTATTTGCAAAAGAAAAGACGTCAAAATCTATCCTAAAATTATACAAGCTTAACATAAAATATTTCGATTAAATCTAATGCTTTTCTCATAGAATTGATGACTGAGATATGAAGCAATTTTACTAGTTGAAAGATTTCCAAAATCGATTGTAATATTTCTTCATTCATGAGAATCAGACATTGATTAAAGTATTTTTCATCGCGGACACCAGAACGATTAATGTACAATCGGAGTTTTTTTCTATTCAGAAAATTTTACGTTACACTCATGAAATGTTTTAACATAAAAATGACTTAGCCTACCGCCACAGTATATGGGGGAAAGAGAAAATATGATACTCAGGGAGTAAAGTGAGTGCAGTACACGTAGAATGCAGTGACAGTAAAGATAAAATCTACTTCAGCTGTACTCCCAGTGTACTCCATCTGTACTACCACTCTTCCGTGTACGAGAGTCTCGCTTTTTATCCACATAGGGTGTGGATGTAATTGGTTGTATATGATAAAGACATCGACATCCACGCCCATCCTTATTATATGTATACTGTTACTGTTGTTCGTAATATAATTTGATGTTAAAATTTTTTCCAGTGATCTAACAAATTTAAAAAAAGCCTGAAAAATACAGAAATCATCAGCTGCAAGTAAGTTCAATGTTCATTTCATTATATTTGCTTGTATTCTTTTTCATATACTGAATTCGGAGCCTACTTAAGCGATTTCTGCTTCGAACATTATTAATTAGTGATTGAGTAAATCTACGTTTGCGATATTTTACTAAAATATAATGCATAGGAACATATGCGGGCCACCAGAGGGCAATTGGTGGCAATTGCCACACCTAAACAAATATTGTGGCACATGCAAAATTATTAGTAGATATATCAAAGGGTGTTACGATAGTTGGAAGTTGAGACGGGCTGTGATCCGCCCCAAATATTCCAAAATTGTCTTGCAACGTATTTCACAAAATGAAATGTATAGTACCTTAAGCGTAATTTTATAAATTAGCACCAGTGTTGCCAAAAGTCGAACTCAAAAATCCGGAAAAAATGCTGAAAATCTCTGAAAAAATCAGCATAAATTTCGAAACAATGCATACCGTACGTCGAAACTTTCAGAAAAGATTGAAAAAATGCAGAAAATCTGAAAATTTTCTGAAAAATCCCCAAAAAAATCTCAAAAAAACCGAAAAAATCAAGGAAAATTCTAGACAAAACCCCGAAAAACTTTCACAACTCGGAAGATCTGGCAACACTGATTACTTCCCTCAAAATTTTTGAGAAGTAGGATTTCATGAATTACGCCCCCCCCCCTCATTTTTGGTTCCTCGCGACACCCCTGGGTATATCTATCTGTATACATACATATGCCACACCCAAAACATGGCTGTCTTTTTAAAAAATTCGCTATTATTATTTATTGCCACACCTCCATATGAGACGTTGGCCCGGCGATGCATAGGAATACACATTTTCTATTGAATGTATGAAATAAATTTCAATTCAGGGTATGTTTTCAGGAAAAAAATAAGTTAAACGCCTCAAAAAGAAAGAGTCTAGCTGTCTTATCGATGTGAAAATATCTGTAAGGATAAAAATGCTTCATTTTTATTTCGTTCGAAAAACGAACCTTTCTGACTGAATCGTTAAGAAGAATGAATTATTTGATGACTTCATTTACTTTCAAAACTGTGTGGAAATCGGCAAAGAGTTTTACAATGTATAGTAACGAATTTGGTAAATGTATCAAAATGACCGAAAGAAATAATTTCGAAAAAATTCGATTTAACATTTTTCGACTGACAATATGAACATTTTTTATTTTCTAAAAACACTTCAAGTTCACCAAAACATGAAATGAATGAAACATAATTAGTAATAAAATTAATAAAAAGAAGATGTTTCTTTACTTGGATGCTAATTTCTCTTATTTGACTACGGTGAATGAGAAGTCATCTAATAATTGATCAACATCGATTTCAAAAAGCGTTTAGTATATAAGTATTGTATCGTTTTCTTTCTCAAGTCCGATGTTTCTTTAGTTCCGTTTCTTTTCTCACTCGATATAAAAAAAAGCGTTCAATACTAATAGAGGATTATCTTTATTAGAGTCGGTAAAATGTATGATGTCGAATCAGTGAAAGAGGTTTTAGCGAAAAGTTTTTCAGTGAAAATATGTTTTGTGCGAATTGTGAAGTGTGAAACAGTGAACTGTAAAATAGTGAAATCTTCAGTTTAATTAAATAAACAGTAATATTTTATTCAATTTGAGACAAAAATGCAATGCATTATCACCAAATGATAGAAAAAAGTACAGATTCAGAAATGAAGTATTTGAATGAGAAAAGGGTGTGGGTGTTGATGCGGGGCCTGGGGATGGGGTGTGAGTTTAAACAAAAGCGTCAGACACCCCACACTCAAGAGTAGAACGAGCAAGAGCTACCATATATACACATGCATCAGCATGATGATTCATCGTCAAACATGAGCAATCGAATCTTATCAAGAAAAAATCTAATTTCTACAGTTGCTGTGTTTTTCCTAATAAAAAACTTCGAGTTTTCGCTACTTCACCCTTCGCAGTTTTATTTTCACTGAAAATGCTTTTCGCTATCATAGTTTTTGGTCAATCGACACCATATCCGTAATGTCATCTAATCTAAAACATTTTCAAAAAATGAATAGGAAAATAAAATTTTCGCTATTTTCACATGATCGACATTTCTTCTTACGACCATTTTGATGTCATTCATCTCACACATCTTTGTTGGAATTACTATTAAATTAATCTAAGCGAGAATACACACTAAATATATTTCTCATTTATAGATTTCACATTGCAGGCAAATGAAATAAATATTAGTATCTTTTTGCAATTTTTATTAGTAAAAATTAAAAAAGAAAATTCAATCGTGTTTACGATTCTTCTCCTTTGTTTTCAATGCAAATATTATCTTTCAAAAAAGTATTCATCACTTTTTCTTTTTGCAAACAGTCTACTGTTAAACCAATGAAAAATATAATTCCATTTATTTTTGTTCTCTTTCCTTGATCGTCTCCAAGACAGTATATAGCAAAAAATTGAAGAAAGCAAATAATTTTGATATTAAAAGGGATTTTTCTCATATTCACAAAAGCAACTCGTATACTGGCTGCTCTCCGCATATTAAGCATTTATATCTATAAACAGAACTCTAAAAAGGTATCTTCTAAAATTTAAATTCATCGATACGAAATAGAATGTCCTTTACTATTGGTGTCAGAAGAGCTTAATACGTACTGAATTTATTTACCCCAAAAACTTAAGTGTAAAACGTAAGAGCCATCGTGAAAAGGGTTGGCCGTCATAATGTCGAAAGGAAAAATGTCGAAAGTAGAAATGCCGAAAGAAGGAAGAGGAATAATATCGAAAGGACAAATATCGAAAGGAAAAATGCCGAAAGGAAAAAATATCGAAAGGAAAAATGCCGAAAAAATTATATTGACATGAAACATTGCCAGTTAATATTTTAGAGAATCGTAAATAATATAGTGTATGTTTTGTTGTATGAAATTAAGCTGAAATGTTAAGGGTGAGAAAATTTTTTAAAAATATGTTATTTTTTCACGAGCTTCACGAACCTCAAGTTTTTCTTTTCCTGGAAGATGACTATGATTGCAAACAGTTTTCATCAATCGATTATTTGAATCAGAATGCGCTTTAGCTGCACAATAATTAATAGTGCATATCCAATACTTAGTATTTGTTGTTACTTTATTCAACTCCTTTATTTTACTTGTATCAATAGTTAGTCATCGCTATCAACAGCGGCTAAAATTCTGCACTAGTAAAATTATAAGAAAAAACAATGAACTATATGTAATTAGAACCAACATACGCTTGAGGCATTATTATTTTTTTATTTTTCACTTTCGACATTTTTCCACATTAATATGTACGTTTCGACATTTTTCCTTTCGGCATTTTTCCTTTCGACATTTTTCCTTTCGATGTTTTTTCTTCACTTTTTCTGTTTTCGACATTTTTCCTTTCGACATTTTTCCAGCACACCATAATTTCATCTAGCAGTGGTTCAGTTTCTGATTCCTTTTTATCTGTTGAATCTAGTGTCTCAGATGCTTCATTCACAGTATTTATAGATACTGACTCCTGTTGTTGTTCATGTGTTGTTATCAATCTTAACAATTTTTCATCCCCATCATCTTTAACATGTGAATGAATACTTGAATGTCTTTCACACATTGTTTCTCACGTTCTATATTCGTATATACTAAGTAAATCGATGATAATTATTTAAAAACATTTTAAACAAGCTCTATTTACAGCAACAATGTCAAACACATGAAATCACCGGGCAAAGATACAGTTTATATCTTATTATGCACAACTGCTCTTTTCTTCTTTTATCTCTTTGCTACTTTCGTAGGTTTCATTTGAATAAGGTGACCGTGATAGATAGATAAAATAGTTTTTCCTTTCTTTTTTTTGCAAGTTCTAATTCTACAATTATCCTATCGAAAAATGTCTGTTCGATTTTGACAGAAAATTGTTTAAGAAATAGAATTTTATGCTTTCATCGCAACAACCTCTTGTTTCAACATACATTTATCGCTAAAATAATTAATAGTTAAAACGACAAAATTGAATCGAAATTTTCAGCCTTTTCAACCATTTCTACATGAGGTTTAAGAACTGTCGTACTCAGCGAAAACAAAATTTTTATTTTTAGATGTACTTTTATCAAGTAGCAGCAAGTTTTATTAATTAATAATGAAAATAGAATTGCTTTATTATTGTATGCTTAGAAAATTTTTCATATATTTATTGTATCAATATATTCTTAGCTAGATGCATTCGAATATTTGTATAAACTGTTAAATATTTTGCAGCCGAAAAAATAACAACTGTGCAATGCTCGTACCGCTTGTTGACACTTGAAAACCTACTATGGCTTGAAAAGGTGCAGTCTTCTGTGTACTTATTCATTTTCGTACATAAGGAAAGTCGTAAACGAAAGAATGGAAAAATAACTTTTACACTATTTCTCCTTGGTGAGATCTTCTGTGCGCATCCTGATTGGTTAAAAAATTGCCATACTGATATTCTTCAAGTTCCTCAACAGATGAAATCTTATATAAGTAACTATTAATAAATATATATTTATTTCTTGGTTTTCGTCAAAAAAAAACGTTTCTTCAACTCTTTATCAATATTTCGAATCAAAATGCATACGCGTGTCACAGAGAAATTTCATTCTCTTCTGCTATTGCTCATCTATGATAAACGAACTTAAACACTTTTCTCTTTCTCGACTTTGTTCTTCGTAACAAATTTTTTCTAATCAATTACATATCATTAATTATTTGCATTGAAAATTCTTCCTATTTTTGTCTATTAATATATCTATAGATTTTGATTTTTACAGATCGGTAACGTACGTGAGTTGTTTAAATGAGAGTGTGTGCGTAAATAAACATAGGAAAACGAAGGGAAACAAGCATTCGGAATAAAAAAGATAGATCATGATTGATTGGATAACTATTGCAGTTGCTTTAGCAATAATTGCTGCATTAGTTGTTTTTTTTGGCTTCGTGGCATGGAAAATTAACATGCCTGATCCATTGGGGTCAACTAATTTAACGGGAAAAAAAGATGATATCAATCAACTATTTGATTCAATTGGGGACAAGAAAAAGAAAGATAAATCAGCTAGTGAACAAGCAAAGAAGAAACGTAAAGAACAAAAAAAATTAAAACGTGAGAATAAGGAAGAAGATCATCAACGGCACGTAGTGAAGTTTAAGGAACCAAATGAAGAAAGTGATAATGAAAGAGAAGAGAGTGACCAAGTAAGTTAGAATTTTAGATAGCAAATATTAAAATATCTGACTAATTTATTTTTGAAATTGTTTTTAGGAATCTTCTTCACCACTACCACCAACTATTCAACTATCATCAAAACCTCGTAAACGCAATAAAAAGAAGACATCATCACCAACTCATATTGAAGGTATTCTTATTAATAAGGGTGAAAAAAGTCCAGTTACAAGTCAAGCTGCACATATTGCGCATCCATTATTAGCAACTACAATACCTAAGGATGAAGTAGAATTAGCTAAGCAACATGGCAAAGGTCATATGAAATCACCTCAACAATCAAATAAACAAGTAGTACAAGCAACACCTCCTGCTGCATCAGCTAAAAAACCAACAGCATCATCATCATCAACAAATGTTAATCAAGATGTTCAAAAGCAGCAGCAGCAACAAGAACAACCATTTACTACAGTTGTTAATAATCGACATAAGACTGTAACACCACCATTACAACAACAACAACAACAACAACAGCAAAATAAATTCGTCAATACATCATCGGCAACAACAACAACAGTAGCACCTATTACTACTACTACTACTACTACTGTATCTGCCCCAGCAGTTCAACAGGCAGCTCCAGTTCCAGCTCAACATGAGCAGTTACCTCAACGTTCAACACCTCGTCAACAAGAGGCACCGGCTCGAGTCAATGGTTTAAATACAAATCTATCAACTGTAAAACAACCAGTTGCTGCTCCACTGACAAAACTTGCAGATATTGTTAAAAGTAAAATGTCGTATTTACTCTTTTATTTGTATTGATTAAAGTTGACTTTTTTTTCTAGCTCTTCCAACATCACAAACTGTTGTTACTGAGCTTATGTTAGCACTTGATGCAGTTACTTTATCAACTGATGAACTTGATATAATCATGCATAAAATTGCTAATAAACAAGCTGTTATCAAAAAAGATTGGACTAAAGTATTTACTGAAGCAACATTCTTTTCTTTTTTTTAATCATATTAATTAATATTTTAGTTACAACATGGTCAAAAAGTTGATCCTCAAGCACATATTGGTCAAATCTTATATGAATCTGCTAGAGCAGTCGAAGAAGGTATTGATTATCTTCTTTTTTTGTTTTAAATAAAAAAGAAAATCTAATTCTTTATTGAAGATTTGAAAACCAATGCTATGAAACGCGTACAAGAATTAACTGATGAACGTAGCAATGATAAACGTCTCATAAATGAATTATTGAAAGAGAAAAATGAGAAAGAAATAAATATGCAAGTGCTACATGCTCAATTAAATGCATGTCAACATCCACAACAACAAATTCATAAATATGAAGCGGAATATCAAAGACTTACAGAGGAAAATATGCAACTAAAACAACGATTAACGCATCAACAACAACATTTTCAACAGCAACAACAGCAATATTCATCATTAAATATAATGAACAATAATGGCGATGCAACAAATATTCAACTTCGTGTATTAAGTGAACAAACAAAAAAGTTGTCTGTTGATAATGCAAATTTAGAAAAGCAAACCAATGCAAAAGACCAATTAATCAAAGAAGTACAAAAAGAAAAAGATGATTTACTTCGGTAAGATAAGATGATTATTTTAAAATTATTTATTTCAGCGACTGAGATTTGTGTTAGCCCATTGATATTTTTTCCTCGCTAATCATTTTTATTTTATTTGGAAAACGCGTTTATTCAATCGCAACTTATTTAGTTATCAGTCCTTTACTGAATTTTTACCCTTTGAGCATAAAATTACTTTAAATATGTATTATTGAAGGTCGAATTTGAGAAATACTATCTTAGTCAAGATATCAACTCCTAATGCGAATATAATTTATCTGATTTTTCAGCACCAAAAATTTATTATTTAAGTGTAAAATTTTGGCTAGAATAATTTAATTTTCATTCAAACCATAGGATAGGTATTCTTCAATGATTTGAATTCGCAGAGATTCTATACTCCTATGACCGAAATCAAATCATGATTTCTTAATAGCCATCATGATCGACTGAATGTCTTCAATATTTTCACACAATTACACATTTGGGAATATTTTTATGTAGAAGAGGCTTTTTTTTGTTGATATACTTGATATCAATACTCTTTATGGTTAAAAGCATTCTAATACCATTGGCATAAAGGTGCCCACGAGATTAGACATAAAATCAGATCTTATGAAATCTTATTTGTATTCTACGAAATTGAGAAGAATACTGTAGAAAAGTAACTGACACAGCCATAATAGAGATCGCAAGTGTTGAAATTCAGTACCAATTTATTGAGTTTAGATCAAAAATCGTCCATGCATATCTTATTCATGGGCATGACTCATTCACCTACGAAGATGTGATTCGTACGAAGAAATAAAAGACTTTGAACTCGAAAATAAATTGCACCATCGAGCGTATACCAGATTTCTGGGATCAGTCGCATTGTTGACTCTGCCAAACAGCTTTCCATCGAGTTCATTTGACAGAATGAATATCAATAGAAAAATTAATTTTCTCTTTTAATTATCATTAGTTTCATGTTTTTTTATATTTCAAATTAATTTTTAAAATTTTAGTTCAAATCAACAATTACTACAAAAAGTGCAAGAAGCTCAAAAGCAATACCAACTCAATGAAGAAAAAGTACATAAAGAATTTAGCGAAAAACAAAACTTACATTTAAATCAATTAAATGAATTTAAATGTCGTATTCAACAATTAGAATTAGATAAGGAAAAGCAACGTCAAGATACTCTTGCTCAAATCGAAGCAATGCAACCATTACAATTAAATAATGAAGAACGTGAAAAATTCGAACAAGAAATAAATCAACTAAAGCAAAAATTTATCGAAGGAAACGAACAAAATAAAAAGAATCTCGATGAAAAACAAGTAATTTTCGCTCCTACTATTCTACTTTCTAATAAAAACCTTAATTATTTAGTCTCAGTATCAATCTAATGATAATGAACTACGTCAACAAATCGAACAATTGAAGAAAACTATTGAACAATGTCAAACTAACGAGTAAAAACTTCAATAAAATTTCTGTTTACAATTTAGTGCATTTATTTTTATTTTTAGAACTCAAAATAATGCACTCGCAGCTAAAACTGCACAAATCGATGCATTACAATCCGAACTTGCCGAAGCTAAAGCCAATAATGATGTAAGTTTTGTGAAGTGCATTTATTAAAGTTTAAATTCAAACGCTAATCACTCCATCGAAAACAGCTTTTTTCACTGGATTTCATCACTGAAAGGACCACATGTATTTTCTAGCGTCTGAATCTGTCTTTTTTTTTGTTTATTTTTATCTTAGAAAGTACGGATGCGAAATTGGAAAGTGATGAACGAGTTGATATTGGCCGAGGAAAAACTCGATGCTTTAAATCGATTGAAAACAACACATTAAATAAAAAGAAAAACACTTATAGTTGAAACGAAAAGCAGAAATTTCATCAAAGCAAAAAGCTAATCTTTATCACTTTTGGGTTTTTCTGTCTCGTTAGGTTGTTTTGTTCTATCTATCGATAGATTGTAATAAAATTATTTTAAAACAAAATATTTTTGTTCTGCACATTTTTTGAACTTTCTTTTTTTTGATGGTGGGGATGCTTATTTATATGTACGGGCATATTGTTTTACTTTTATTGCGAATGCGAACGAATAGTTTGTGCATGGTAGTTTTAATTGTTTTGGGGATTTATTTTGTGTATTTTAGGCTATAAAGTCACAATTAGATGAACATGTTCGACAAGAAAAAGATAAGCAAAAACAAATTCTCATCGAACTTCTTGCACAGGATGCGCGAAACCAATTACCAAATGATAATCAAGTAAATATTGACTCAACTCTGTTTTGTTTTGTTTAGTCTCAATCGCTATTACAACGAATTCTAAGCTTAAGCTTTAATTATTGTTTACATGATTGTTTATCTTATAGTAAAATTGGAGAACACATAGGAAATGAGTCTTTCACCTAGCTTAGGTTTAGAATTATATGAATATAATTTATGTATTGAAATTTATGCTTAGACTAGAATTCAAAAAGAAGCATAGGTAAGCTAAATCGCTTGATATGACACTCTATTGGTTTCAACATTAGAAAGAGAACAATTCTTTACATCTGATTGTTGAATACTATGTCACTCAAAATGATATAATTATGGTTCTAACATGTATTGTAATGAGGAAGACTTTAAAAACGTAATCGACAATAAATTTCACCCTGTTTATGATCAGATAGAAATATATCGCGGATTGAATTTCTTTTTTTCACTGAAAATAACTAGTTGCTAACTACTGACATTATCAAAGTATTGAGATCATACCGATGCCTCTTAAATTCTCGAGCAAACATTGTTACTTTCGTAAGAACATGATAATGGTAACTCTAATTATTAGTTGGAAACCCACTGAAGTTTTTATTTTAATATTAATTGACATCAGTCTATCAAAGTTTTACTTTAAAACAAAAAAAAGTTTATTTGAAATTTAAATGACTATTGAAATTGGTGGTAAAATATGACATGCTAATGTTTATATTTCATTTGTTTAATCATTTGTTTTTTTTAACGTTTAACCAGGATTTTAATGAATGGCTCTCATCATATCGGCGCATATTCGAGGCAAGTGCCGAAGCAACGAAGGTAAATAATTCGTTAGTTCAGTGGTTTAAGTAGTATGAATCCATTTGAACTCGCGGTCGAATCTAACTAACAACACACACACATATATATATAAACAAAACATAAAAATATCGTTTCATGTCATGATGAACAGCCTTAATCCATTCTCTGATAGCATAAGTGAGCTAGCTCATCAATGCCTTGCCCGTGCCTATCTAAGCACAATTATATTTCCTTTCCGAGTATCAAGGTTTTCTTGATTACAGTATAGAAAGTGAAGTATGTTGTGTTGGCCAGTCGCATTTAGTGGCTCGTCATGAGTTAGCTCAATAGTGTAAAGATTCGAAAAAACGGCATCTGAACACGAAGACGATATTTTATATATTTAAACGATTAAGTTTTTAATTGTTAATTATTTTGAAGAGTCCTACTCCTCCTTGCCACGATCTCTTTATATGCATTAACAATAATGATCTATGAGAGTATTTTTTTCGAAATCATTCGATTCGAACAATGACAAAATCATTTCAATTGTTTACAATTGATCATGTTGACACAATAAAACTAATGGCGTGTCAGACGCGTAGAAATCTTCATACATGAATATGACTGGTTTACATAAAACATAGACAATACAGTCTAGTTTTAGTATAAAAGCATCTCTTATTGAAATAGTAACGACTGATGCAAAAGTCTTGGCAAGAATGTCGAGCTTCGCTGTGAGCTCCCCTAATGTGCCAGAGACTTAAGTCTTTCACCATCGGATAGAGCAGAGTCTGGAGACTAGAAATGGATTTCTTCAAAAAAACATTTGACCTTTTCAAGGGTCGAAATTTTCGAAACGTGAAAGGCGCCAAGAAACGGCTTGTCACCATTCAAATTTTTCTTGCTAATTACCTTTTTCGTAATTAACGATCTCAGTCAAGCTTTGATGGGACTCGGTCAAACTTTCAGATCATAGGTAACTTAGTGTGAGCTACTCGAATAACTTGGATTCAATTTAGCTCGTCTTCATGGAAACACTTTGGCGCCATTTTATTAAAAGGGGGGGACAATGTTTTCATCCCTCCCTTTTTAAACGAGACTGCGTCTCGAGATTTTGACGGAATTCGAGTTTGAGGAATTGATTAGATACAGATTTTTATGCTCTTTCGGAATCTCAAACTCAAATTCGGTTTGGACAAAAACATTGAATCTAAAACCTTTTCACTACAAAAACGATGAAAAAAGTTGCTTACTACCATTTTACACTAATTAAAATTTGAATGGTGACAGGCCGTTTTTGGCGCTTGTCGCGTTTCGAAAATTTTGGTCCTTGAAAAGGTCAAATTTTGTTTTTTGAAGCAATTCATTTCTAGTCTCCAGACTCTGCTCTATCCGATGGTGAAAGACTTAAGTTTCTAGCACCTTAGGGGAGCTCACAGCAAAGCTCGACATTCTTGCCAAGACTTTTGCATCAGTCGTTAGTTGACAAATACTGTATATACAAAGCCAAAGTTTTCTTTAATTTTTCATAGGATATTGCCGTAATTGCGATCGTTTTTGTTTTCTTATGATCTTAGCATTTCATTTTATTTTTGTATTATTTTCAGCAAACTTCACACGATGAATCTGCAGCACTTAAACGTGAAAATGATCAACTTCATAAGAATATGCGAGAAGTTGTAAGTAAAATATGTTTTTCTTTTGTACGTGATATAATTTCATACATATAAATTATAGGAAAGTCAATTGAAAGAAATTGAACAAGCCGTCCAAAGTAAAGAAGAAGTTTTACTTGCTGATTTGAAATGTGTAAGATTTGAATAAATATTTTTATTTTTCTAATAGCGTTTTTCTCTAAATCTGATCTATGCTTTCTTTCTTCTTTTTAGAAAGATACAACATTGGGAAGCATTCTTGGTGAAAATGAACAATTAAATAGTGAAATACAGCGTTTACGTAGCGAAATCAATCGTTTACAATCAGCGCATGATACAACAGTTGATGAAAATCGTCTATTAAAAGTTCAATTTGAGGAACAAAAGCTTCTTATTGCTAATAGTTTACCTACGACTGCTGTAAGTACCTTCACTATTAGAAATATGTTGCATGTCGATATGATTAGATTCTTTTAATAGTAGAAAATTGTCTCTTTGCTTTATGTACACTGCTTTATGCTTAACTATATATACATATACATATATATATATATATATATATATGACTTCTTTTCTAACTCACAAATAATCTAGGATGATGATTTACTCGAATCAGTAACACAGCAGTCGCCGTTCTCAACTGAGATGGACACTCGTGTTGATGAATTAAATGAATTAATGCGATCAAGCAAGGAAGCTCTTGATAATCAAGATTCGATTGTTCAACAGCTTGATAAACACTTGAACGAATTGAATCGCAGTGGAATCGGAGGGGTACGCTCCGAATATCCACCAGGGAGCTATTTTCTTTTTCTATCTTTGAAAAACTAGAAATTAACGCTGCATGTGTTTTTTTCACACTTTCTTTTCAATCAAAATTGGACTTCAGACTAACAAAATTGAAACAAATTGTACATTTAATTCTAAAATTTTCCTTGTCTTTAGCCATCAACATCAAATGTCGATGAAACAACAGTATCTTCTTCTTTTGATCAAAAACAAATTGAATCTTGATCTTACAAGAAGAGTTTAAAACACTTCGTTTTTTTTTCTTTTACATATTGTTAGTTTTTAATTCATTTATTACATAATAGCAAACAACTTGAAGGAAAAAAAAATAGTTTGCTTGTTGATTGTACTGTCGTTGTCGTTTTTTTTTCTTTCTCTTTTTGGTGCTGTTTGTTTTTTGTTTATGAATACGACTGTCGTCGATTTACACATTTTCTCTTCTACGCCATGGCCGTTTACTTTCGCTCGTCTTTGTCTTGCTCTTGTTATTTAAAAAGAAAAACAACTTCTTCAATAATGGCTTTGATTAAAGACACAAGCATAATTATTTATCAGAAAAAAAACTCTTTTATATATCGACATCCAAACGAAAATAGTTTCATCTACTTTTTTCAACGATTGAACAAATGGTTATTCATATGTCATAAGAAAACGGAGTGTAGAACAGATATTTTATGTATCAGATTGCACGATGCATGCAATTACAATCATTCATAGAAAGAAAAACAAATGAACCATGAATGTTAACGCTTTTGTATTTCTATATACAACCTACTCCAGATGTCCGGAACATAGAAGAAATGAAAAAATTGATAAAATCATAATTATATATTCCTACACTTAAATAGACAGCGTGTAGAAATTTTGGACGCATTTATGCGAACCAATCGATCAGCAAACAGCACCTAATTAATGTTGAAGATGAAACAAAAACGATTCTCAATATTGATGAGCGAGTATGTCTGTGGTATAGGGCTAGTCTAGTGATTGTGTTGACGATGGTTCGCTTGGCTCTCATATCCGTTTATCAGACACCAGTAGTACATCACATTTTAGTCAACTAGTAGCAAGCTGCAATTATAGCTAAAAGCAAACTTCAAGATAAAACTTTTAAAATAAAATCATGTTGTCAATAATATTTTGGGAGTTAGCAATTATATAAATAAATTGAAATTTTAGTTCAATGCAACTACAAACAACTAATTGATGATGCCATAAGCTAAGTTAAAGCAAAGAAATTTACTCCAGAAATTTTTTTTTTAAACACTTTATGTATATTTTCATGATATTCAAAAGAATTTAGAAGTTACGTTTCATTATCTTCATTCTGATCGCACAACGTTTTTGAAATTATTTGCTAGTTTGATTAATGTTTTGTTTCAACCTTTTTTTGTTTTTTATTATACATTACCATCTCACATGAATTAGTGTATGCACAAAATTTACTAATTGACATGTATAGACACTAAATCTTCATGCTTAACTTAAGATTTTACAACAGAGACATTAATTCACAACATTGAACTATGAATATATTCATTCTTCTTTATTTCAGGATTAGTTTTCACTTGTTTTTTTTTATCTATGGCTCATTCAACAGCATCAACATCAATCATGCGTCACGCTTTAATAACTGGACAACCAGGTCTGTTTTGTTTTCTTTATAAAGATTAGTTTAGTATGCTTTCAATACAGAATGTTTTAATGCAAAAGAGTAAGAATCCCTTCAGAAATATCGATTTGTTGCTATAAACCCGGAATAATTCGCAAGATCTAAAGGACATCCATCGCCATTGGGTCCTCCTAGACCCCACCATTCAGGAAAATCAACATCATTGAGTTGAAGAGTAAAAAATATAGTGAATCCACGTAGAGCCACACCACAACTCATTGCAATCGAAAATATGCATGCATATTTCTCCCACCAACTATGCGCATAACGATATAGAACAAAATTAAAAAAGAATCCAACTAAAAACCATGATGGATATTCTGCAGCTGGAGCAGGTGGAATCATACATGGAGCCATTAAAAACATGGGAAAATGAATAAACTTAAACCATTTTATGTTAGGATACATCTTACATAACCACCAGCTTAGTACCGGTAATATGGCGCCTACAAGAAATCCCCAAAGTGCTGTTGAATATTGTGATGACATATTGAACGATCCTAGTAAACAGCAGTAGATTATTATTTGATTTAAACGAAAGAATAGAACAGTGATCGCTTTTTATTTTACCAGTTAGACTAAATATAATAGTCGTTGTAAGACTGTATTGCATACTTAAACATCTCCATATGGAATTTTCAGATGTACATATATTTGGTATATGTTGAAGAAGATATATTGATGTTGCATACTGAATTGTGCTTGTAATAGCAGATGATAGAAGAAATATTGGAAACACAATACGAGGCGGAATCTAAGCGTTTCATTTTTGAAGAATAGATTTGAAATGGAGAAAACTAATCATATTTATTTCTACCTTCATATAATGAGCGATTTTTGTGTTTGTCAAATAAATTACTATTTGGCCTTGACATGTAAATGTGAATGTACGAAATGCAAGAAAGGCGATCGGATTACCGGATAATAAATAACTACCGTTGAGATCGTTTGGAGCACTCATAACTAAAATGAATACATCGTACAAACTAAGCTCTAATTTACAGAGAAAACCATGTTTTCTCTTTCATAGAACTAACCTAATCCCATACTAGTTATTGCTGAGATAATGCCATTTGGTGTGGAGAAGATAATCGTCAATAGTAGTGAAACTTGAATTAAAGTTAGTAATCATGTATGAAATTGACAGGTAGCATATAGGAACTCACGGGGCATGAATTGCATTGGCATCATTTCGGTCAAATACAAGAGAAGTAAGGCAGTCAGAAACGAAAGTAAAACTGTGCAATAATACCTCAAGCGACCATTTGGAATGCGTTTGTATAAGAGTGAAATATGAATAATTAATTGACTAATGCCTCATATTTTGCTGCTTTTTCTATCTATTATGAATTGTGCGCAGACAAATAATCTGAAAAACTCTTAACTCTATCTTTTCACTAATTCACAGTACCATTATATAAGATAAACATACAATTTCTTCTTATGTCTGGTTACCTGCTCCTGTTGTAAAATTCATCTTTTCCGACTACTTATACGTGTATTCATTTTCAACGATAAGTGTTTCTGAAAATTTCTTCTATTAAAATTATCCTATGTACTCAAACTATGAAAATAGATATATTTAATTCGTAAATATCAATAAAGTTCTAACCTGCAATAGATAAATCGTTGTCTCTAAATAGTTACCCTGCTCATAGGGTGCAATTTCTTCACTATTTAGAATTTTCTGTTTTGATGTTTTTTTCTTTCAACATATGAAGAAAATCAAATAATTGAACGAAATAGACGACTTGTCGCGTTAGGCAATGAAAATGAAATGTTTAGAGTAAGACATATGTTCCATTCAATAGAATACGGTAGAGAAACAAACTCGTTTTAGATTTTCATTTTTGCAAGTTTGCTTTTTCTCAAAAATATTCATGATATTTTCGAAATCACTATGCGACTCTCTATCAAATAGTGCTTATTGGAATGAGATAATAGTAGGGTCCTACGGGAATGACTTTTCTTGGCTATTGTTTCCCGTCCTCGAAAGATTTTCACAGCTTCTATTATTATTTCATTTTTCTTATCGAAATTGTTTATTGTCTGATAGCAACTTAGCGCGAGATCTCCTCTTTTACGTATAACATAGCACACATTTGACCTCACGTGTTGATGAGAAATAAATCTTGCATTGACCATTTCTCTAACAATTGGCACCATTCACGCTAACTATTAAAAACTTTCATATTCCCCGATGATTGAACAATCACAAAAGAAGAACAAATAGCTCCACATGCAAACTAGGCATGAGAAAAACTCGAAGGGAGAAGGTGATGATACTACAGTTTTACAATATAGTCTTCATGATCTGTCACGAATTGCGTAATGGGAATAGAAGCGGTCAAGGTCAATAATGTATTTTATTGACTTGAGGAACAGAAACAGAAAAACGAGATGAAAGAAACGAATATTAATACCAATCCAGTTTTCTTTCGAAGAAAACATATATATATATATGAATACAGATATGATGACTCATTCGAAAGGAATTTAAAGCACAGAAAACAAAGCAAACACATATAATATAGTATATGTGTTACTATATCACATGGTCGTACTTTTGATGATGATTATGAGAATAAAGAAGATGACGCTTTCTAATCATAAGTGACGTGGTAGACAACAAATTAATCAATGTAGTTTCTGATAGATGTATTTTATTTTTCTTTCTTAATTTAATGAAATAAAAAACGTGTTCATTGCATAAATTTTAGTAAAAATAAAAATAGAACAAGCATACTTTAGGGAACGTTAAAGTTTTTAGGATTCCCGCGGGAAACCGAACTGGAAAATAATGCAAAAATCATTTCTGCAGAACCCTAGATGAAAGTAAGCAGTCATAAATCCTGTTTCTGAATAACTGACGAATGGTCAATAGTAGAAAACATCAAAATCTCAGAGTTAGAATTTTCATGTTTTTGCTCCTACGCTTTATGCGGATCAATTTTTCTTTTGTCCTTCTACATATGTCGCCTACTCTGCGTTGTGCAACATATTTTCAGTTAGATTTAGTGATTTTGATGTTACTTGACTAGCCTTCACAAAGAAATAGCTAAAGGAGATATTCTTGACAAGCAAATGAAGTCGAAGCTGTGGATACGACTAGTTTTCCTTCGCGAGCATCTTATTAATCGAACAATGGCAATCGGTGTCGCTGAACATAGGTTAATTGTTGTATTTTGTTTCTAAACAGCTGTCAGAGCAACTTGAACCAAATTATGTTTTCAATCTAGTTGAAACATTGCTCACCAATGCTAAGTCCGTAAGATCAAGAACAACAACTATGATTCGAACAGATTAAAGCAAAAGTTAATATGCGTTAAAGAAAATTCCAACCAAGTAACTAGCTACAAAAATTACTGAGATACCATTTCAGGATGAATATTCTCAGGCGATTGATTTCTAGTCTACTCAATAAAAGGCACAAATTCAAGTAAATTAGTTCTTACCACCATTCGGGAACTTCTGAATAATGAGACATAAGTTTGGCATGGATATCATTGTTTTTTTCCGATAAACTTGAGCGAAACTGTTTGACTATCGTTTCCCCTGAAAAATAAAATCATGCGAGAATGTTTACTGAACGATGTTACATTTTTTGTAGTTATACAGCGTCATTAATATAAGATGTTTTAAAAAAAATATGGTTAATTATTAGATTTTTTGAAAGATCCACTGCTGAAGATGGCGATAGCATTTCGATTCATTTCTTCGATCGAAATTCTTATATTTTTCAAATAGGAAATATGCTCGTTCACAGTTGAGCTCTCTATCTATTATTTTCATAGGTGTTTCTATTGGTTTTTAAACAGCAATTAGTTGGACAACTTGGCTTCGCAGAATCATGCCAAGATTTGCTATCGGAAAACAAAAACAAATTAAACTTTTTTCAGACTTTCTCTCAACCACGCAGTTAAACTCTGCATCAGTTTCAAAAAGAGAAGCATGGATGTTTTACAACTTTCATATAATACAAAATCATATTTACCATGATATACAATCGTATGAACAGTCAACGCTGTGATGGCAGCAAATGAAAAAGCATATGAAACCGCGAAACCGCTACTTAAAAGCGAAGGGCCTGAAATCATTTAACTATAAACTATGCTCGTGAAATCCTCTCTGAATTACCATAGATTTCATAGGCTGTTTCATTTCGATGATAGTCTTTCGTCAATATTTTACTTGTATTATAAAAGTTACCATCTTTATCAAAAACATTATTTGAGATAATAGGGAATTTTTTTCGAATCCCAAACATTTAAGTAATAGATGAGAGGCGTTGCAATCCAAATAACTATTACAAGTCCAACAAATATCTGGATATGTGCCCTAATAGATAGAAAGAAGCAATTAAACTTCGTCAGTTGTATGTTTAATCATTAGAAATATTTACCAGAACGGGACGAGAATAGGCGTATCCAAATAAGCTACCCAAGCTTTCCAATCGAATTCTATCGCACCAAAGCCAAGACCACACGCACCAGTCACTTGCGATAGTACAACATTTTTCGGTGACATAACACAGATCAACGAAAAAAATGACAGAAGAGGAAATATGCAACCAGGTAGCCAATACCATAGAAATTGACATAAGACTATCAACCAGAAAAATTTCAAGCGTGTTATTTTCCATCGACTATGGTCCTCTGTAAATTCATTTTCATGAATTAATGTACGTATCAATGAACAAGTCATCAATGTTTTAGGCCAAATCATGAAACCTGGCCATATAAGATATCGTTTTAATATTCCAGAAAACGAAATGGCAAGAGCATGCACGATTAATAAAAATAAAACGGAATTAAAATGACCAAGATTATATTTAAAATGAAAGCGTTGAATAGTGAGCGTTTCGATACCCTCATACGTACGTAGGCCTGATGAAGCCATTGTTGTAATAAGAGCATATTCTTTCATAGTGAACGGCCCGGGATTGATTGTAATATTAAATATACGATTTGGTAATATTTTTGACATTAATTCAACAATCATATATGAAATTAATACTAATATACCAATATTAAGATCTAATGGTGATGTACGAAACGCAAAAAACTGAGATGTAAATGCCATAATACATCCTAATAGTATACCAATCAGCATTGAGCGAAACGTTAAACACAATGTATTTGGATCATCAGTATTTGATATATTAACAGCTACCTCTTCATACGGTGATTGTTCAGTATCACTTGATGATGCTGAATCATTTAGTAATGCTACTTTTTCTGGATTCTAAAAAAATGAATATGAAAATGAGTATCTTTCTGAATCAATACAAAGAGCGTTAATATACTTGATTTTGACCATGAAATAGTGAACTTTTATAAATTGAGTCAGTAGTGTTTGATAAGTTTTCGTCAGTGTTTTCATATTCAGCACCATTTTTCATTGTTTTATGATTCCAAGTATTTGGCAAAGAAAATAGGATATATATATATATATATCGAATAATATTACTTGCTAAGCTAAATAACCAGTTTATATGAAATATTATATGTGATCATTCGATGGGACAGCTTTCGTCATTGTCGCGTTTTGTGTCATGTTTGATATATCGAAACAGAAAATAATATAAAATAAATGCGGAAACATCGGATTTGCATCCGATTATTATGCGTACTTCAAAAAGCGAAAATGTACATCCATTTTTTTCTATAAGGCATAGATCTCATCAAGATACGCCCCTTCTCACTAAATTACAAGGAGAAAATACAGGCATGCTAAGTTAGCATGGACCACACTGTATGCAACTCTATCCAGTGGTCACTGACTCTACTCTCAGCGTGATATAATATCTTTAGAGATCACAGAAATTGAGCTCAGATTCGTGTTCAGCTTCGAAAACTGGATAAGAACAGCTATTTTTGAATGGTTTTGTGTTTGTATCTAGCAGGATTACGATTGTAAGCAACCTCGTGAATTTATAAGAGATGTATGATAGATACAGGCATCAGTATTTTCATAATAAATCATCAATAGTAATAGCAATCGGGTTCGGGTTTTTACCTTTCGATAGTCTTTTTGACTAGCTACAAAACCAGGCATTTGAGAAACCCCAAAACTGCTGGTCATCTGAAACATATCTAGGCAATTTGGTTTCTAGATGCAGTTTT